TGTTATCGAAGTCACTATATATATATATAAACACTTACAGCCGTGCAAAATCTAACTAAATTAGTCAAGTTATAATAAATAAAGAAAATATAATTATACAGTTATTTGACCAATGTACTTGCTTGCTACTAATTTAAATATAAACCATTTTAATTTTAGATGTATTTGATATTAAAAGTTAACTTTAATCATTAAAACATAATAGTGAATATAATAGCTACAAATGAAAGCTGAAATGAAATTAATGATGAGATAGTTATGGAGATGATCACCTTCAAAATTAAAATCAGAAGTTGTATCAAGAAACTGAAAATTGAACTTCTACATGTACAAAATGGGGTATATGTTAATGTAAATCTAATAACTTCCTTCTTTTTGCCCCAAAACATGGAAACAGCCACACTTAGTCTCACTTCTTACCTTATAATATGTATGACTTAGGGCCGAGATAGCCTAGTTGGTATGGCACTGGGCCCATGCCCAAGAATTCGTGGGTTCGATCCCCTCCGGCCAAAGACTCCCGTGTAGTAAATGGTGACTGATGCACGTTAAATCAGTCGAGTCACAAAGTCCTCCATGTTCCCATTACAAATCAATACATCTGGGGGTGCTGATCCAAGAGTTTCCTTGTCTTCTGGATTGGTTCAAAGTTACAAAGCTACGGAGTTGAACATCAGTGGCCGCAAACCCACAATTGGGTCGGCTGTTCAATGACGGATATAAAATATGTATGGCTAGATGGAGAACTTCCTTAATACTCTTCCATTCCTACATTATCCTATAACTTAAGTATTTTTTATTTTATTTTTTTCCAATTTGGACTGTGCTAGCATCAGTAATAGATCGCAAATTTCATTCTATTTTATATATATATCCTTTTACTTCAAAATAAAAAAAGTTTCTTTTTTTTTTTTTTCAGAGAGAAAAAACTATTGGTTAGTTCTGATGATTATGGTCGTGACTTGACTGGAGTACAGAATTTACGTAAAAAGCATGTGCGTCTCGAGGCAGAGTTAGTAGCCCATGAACCAACTATTGAAGCTGTCCAAGAGGCTGGTCAAAAATTAATGGCAGAGTCTAACTTAGGTGTACCAGAAATAGAACTGAGGCTTAAAAATTTGGATAATGCTTGGCAGGAACTAAAAAAAGTATGCATATATAAGTGTATTCCAGGGTGTTTGTGCTCCGCAAAATTCCTGATTTTTTTTCATTCTAGCATAGCAGCCAATTCTACTGGATTTTGCCAGTTTCTCCTGGTCTGCTGGTTTAATTTAAATTCTCCTAGTTTTTGTACATTTTAGGAAATTCCCTAAAAAAAAATCCCTTTTGAGATAGAATTTTTGTACAGAATATTGCTTACTTGCTAGAATATTTAAACAAGTATTACTAATACATAATGAAGCAAACCGCATTTATAGAAATCAGTTTAAAAAAATTTTTTGTTCTAGAATGTTCGGGTTAATTTTATTCGAAACTCTCTTTTTAAATTGAATAAAATATTCTTTTAACTATCTTTGAAATAAATGCCTATTAATATTCTAAATTATGAGTAAACATAATACATACGATTTCAAGTCTGTTTAATGTTTATCATATCTAGTAAATATTGCAGTTTTTCTATTTTGATCACTATAAAACTCCTTAGGTGTAAAATATTTAGTACATTATGCAACAACTATCACGAAATTTATATATTTCGTAAAATCTACTGGATTTTTTTCTATTTGTTGGCAGCTATGTATACAAATGGAAGGTTTCTTTTTGCTAGATTCTTGGTGATGGGAAGTGAATAAACTTGGAGTGTATGAAAGGGCAGAAAAAGTTATAAAAGCTGAAGTAAAACTTGACTATCTTTGTTGTGGGTTGGTTAACTGTTAATAAATGATTGGTGGTTAAGGAGCAATGTGTTTTCTCTAGAAAACACTTACAAGTATGGTTTTGGCTCTCTTATTGAATACATTGATTTATGGCTAATGTTATCAATTGCTTATTGTTATCGAAGTCACTTGCTCCTGGTTTTTTTTTTCTTCTATTCTTTAAAATTATCATTTTCTGTGATCATTGCATCATTTAATGTTAGCAGTTTTTTTCTTCGTATTTTATTTTTATTTATTCTGTGTATTAATTATCTAATTTTACATACATCAAAAGACTAATGCGTTCAAATCTATGTATTATTTAAAAATTTGTCGATAGTTTTTCATTATGTTCTGATATCCTTATATTTAACTAGACTATTAGCAATAAAAACTAGATTCTTTTTCTTCTTTTTTTTTTTTCAATTCTATTTTCTAACATTGCTTTTTGATTTATATAATTGGAATTTCTTTTTTTGCAATATTTTGTGGGATGATCAATTAAAGGATTTCTTAGCCAAATTAGAGGAAGAAGAAGCCTGGATTTCTGAGAAAAATTCTTTAATATTTTAAAAATTTTAATTTTAAAATGGAAAAACGCTTTAGAAAAACTAATGAAGTAACATAGAGAACGCAATGCAAGAGAAAAGTTTTGTAAATTTCTTGCCTACAGCTTGAAATATATTTAATAATTTTTTGCCTCTCAGAAATTTTTTTTCTTAGTTATTTCTGCTTGTACACCCAGTTCTGCTGTTGTTGGAAGGTTTAATTATTACTACAACTCTTAAAAGTTGAAATTTATAAATTATTTTTAAAACCTTTTTTTTTTTTTAAACTATTCAGTGTTTTATCAGGTTTACTGATTTTCACTGAACTGAGAGTATTTGTCATTAAAATAAGAAAAATTTTATTTTTAGATGACATCTGACAGAGGAACAAAATTGAATGAATCTCTTGCATATCAAAATTTCTTAGCCAAATTAGAGGAAGAAGAAGCCTGGATTTCTGAGAAACATCAACTTTTGAATGTTGATGATTATGGAGACACAATGGCTGCAGTTCAGGTATTTCCCTTTCATTATCTTTTTCCATTATATACAATTTTTTTTTAATTTTTGTTACTTATTCTTTTGACTGTCAAATAACCAATGAGCTGCATATTTAACATGGTGCATAGCATTTTTAAAAATTTCTTAGAGGTGCTTATTTTCGTTTTCTTAAAACCCTTAAAGGTGCATTTTTCACTGGGTATTTTTAAAAAGTGCTTAATTTTCCCTTTTGGAGATTAAGATTTTTTATTTTTTTTAACCATGTCAATTTTTGAAGCATATTATGCAAAAGCGTGTTTTTCACATTGTTCTATTCAATGTTTTCACAAATCATTCAAACACAATCAATTTCAACGTACCATTGTCCATAGCGCATAATTTTCACATTTATATATGATTTAAAAGCTATGTAATGCGATTCATATTCACGTAATCAATCTAATAATTATGCATAGTGATTCGTATCTGCACGATTTAAAAATTCCATACTGCAATTTGTATTATCGCTTTTTTAAAATCAAATATCGCAATTGATATTCACGCAATTTTAAAATCAAATATTGCGATTCTTATAAAAAGTGTTTTTTTTCTTCCTTGAATTAGCTACTCTAAATGTGACTCCATTAGTGGGTAATTATATGATAAATGTTAGCTCAAAAAGTTATGTTAAATATTAATTATGTATGATTTATAAATTGATATCTATTTTTTTGCTCATAAAATTTTCAGGGTTTTTCACTCTCTATGACAAACACGCTTGATATGATTTAAAATTTAGTAGAGTTATTACTCAGTTAATTACTGAACAAAAACTTATAAATGAAATGTTTACGGCAGGGCCTGTTGAAGAAACATGATGCATTTGAGATAGATTTTGCTGTCCACCGTGAAAGATGTGTTGCGATTTCATCAGAGGGGCAACAACTGGTGGCTGAAGAGAACCACCACTCTGGCAGCATCAGTCAAAGACTGCAGCAACTTCACGACAGATTGAGTGCACTGGATGCCAGCGCCATTCGAAGGAAGAGTAAACTGAAGGATAACTCCGCCTACTTACAGTTCATGTGGAAAGCTGATGTAGTCGCTAGTTGGATAGGTAAGTTTGAAAACCAACTACACTTTATTATATTCAATGGAGTTTTCAATTAATATGTTGCATAGTGTTTTTTAAAAAGTGCTTAAATGTGCTTTTTTTTATTTTCGTTTTTTAAAAGCCCTTAAAGGGGCTCTTTTCAATGGGTGTTTTTAAAGAGTGCTTAATTTTCCGAAATGAGGTATTTTTTCTTTGCAGTGTTATTTTTTGCCGTTTTTTATGCAAAAGCGTGCTTTTTACAATGTTCTATTCAACGTTTTCACGATTCATTCAACCACAATCTATTTCAGCATACCGTTGATCCGTAGCGTATGAAAGCGGCAAAATTTTTTTCGATTGAGAAAAAATTTTTCAGTGAGCTTGGTTCGTTGAGATTATTGCACTCTCGTGTGCAACTCTGCTTCATTTTCCACCCTCTGAAATCAAACCGAAAAATCTCTTGGATCATTTTTTAATGACTGATATAATAAAGAAAAGAGCTCTTTGTCAGAAACTAGTTATTTTTATCATGATCATGTAAAGTCTTTGAAAATAATTTTGCATTTTGTTAATGCATATAGTGCTTAAAACTTTTTTTGCTGTAATTATGTTTTAATTTCGCCATTTCTACATTCAATTAGGATTTTGATTATCAAAAAGTTCATTGTCTGAACATCTTTTGTAAAAGTGAGAGGCAAAATTGTTTAATACTTTTAGAACTGGAATATGTTCTGTTTTAGAATGATTGTGCCATTAGTATATGTAACAATTGTTAGTACCTGAATATATTTTAAATTTTGTTTTTTTCCCTCCCCCCAGGTGACAAAGAAACACATGTTCGTTCTGAAGATTATGGCCGAGATCTGTCATCAGTACAGACTCTTTTGACAAAACAAGTTAGTAAATAAATTAATATTTTCTTGACTTCTTTAAGCTTACTTTTTATAGTCATTATTTTCAAACTGGAATGTGATTTTTAAATAAGGAATTTTTGTTCTTAGGAAACATTTGATGCTGGTCTGTCAGCATTTGAGCAAGAAGGTATTCAAAGCATCACTCAGTTGAAAGACCAACTTATGGCTGCTAATCATGACCAAACTCCAGCAATTGTTAAACGACATGACGATGTTCTTGGAAGGTTTGTGTCATAAGTACTGAAATAAAATTATCTTGTGGATACTGAATTTTTCAAATACAATTTATGTATCCCAAGCCCCCTGTTTTTTTTAACGAAGACTCCTGTTTACCCATAAATTCTCAAATTTCTCCGTATTTCGTTATGAAATTTTAATAAAGAAATTTTAGGTGATAAAATATCCACTGATGGCAAAATACTTATCTTATTCCTCAACTGAAGGTGCTCTCACCAGTACTGCAGTATGTTGAATGTTAATAGTTTAAGTCGAGCCTTGATGGCTCAGGAGATGAAGCGTTTGATTTCCAATGAGGTGAACCAGGTTCAAATCCCAGAGATGATTGCTCTATGTGAATTCTGCATCCAACTTGTGCTGTTGTAAAATATACTCCGTGGTAGACTGATCACAGGTTAGAATCCCCTTGGCGTGGGAGATTTTCGTGATTTTCCTCTCCATAACTCAAATACGCGTATGTTCCATCAAAAAGTTCTCCACGAAGGCTAATTTCTCCCAATACTTATACCAGGATTTTCCTTGTCTTTTGGATCAGGTTCATAATTACAAGACTATGGAGTTGAACGTTAACAGTCCTGTACCCAAAATTGGGTGAGCTGTTCAACGACGATTATATAATAGAATAGTTTAGTATCTATAAATAATGGTTTTAAAAAAATCTTTATATTAAGATCATACATATTCTTTACTTCACTAAATGTAAGTGCTTATATTATTTACTATTTTAAATTTCTCTTTTTGATTTACATGATTACGCACGCCATATCAGAGCTTTACTTGTAACCTTAAAAATTCCGGTAGTAAAATCTCCGTTATTTTATTATGCCATTGTTGGCAGGTGTGAATTTATTTTTCTTTAGGAATTAAATAGGTGAACTATTTAGGTGTAAAGGAAAAATTAAACGTTTTTATTATACCTAAACAAAATAAAATGTTCCTTCAAAAAAGAAATTTTGTGCAAAAAATAAAAAACCAAGATACCATTCAGCCACATCATTCCTTGACTGGCCACTTTATCGTGTCTATAATTTTGAAATTAAGGACTCATTATTTTATTATAAGTTTTATTGAATTAAACATATCTGTAATGTTAAAAATATTCATTTTAGGTGGCACAACCTGTTAGCAGCTTCGGAAGCCCGTAAACAGCGTTTGCTTCATATGCTTGAACAGTTTAAGCAGGTAAAAAAATTTTTTTTTTTCTGATTTCATTTTAAAAAATATGTTGATATTATGAATTGAATAATGTTTTTCATTTTATTCACTGTAACAATACTTGCAAGTAAAACTTAGTTTGTGACATAGCTTGGTAATCTTATCTAGAGTACAAAAAACTAGTTAAAAAGTCTCTTTTTTTTTTCACTCTGATAAGTATGAAACCTAAATTGTCCCAGTTAATGCTACAGTAAGTAATAAAAGGAAATTGCACTATATGTATTTAAGTTGATAAATTGGTAAGTTGATTAATTGATAATTGTCGTAAGTTGTACTATTTTTTAACAGTGGCCAGTTTTAAAATCATGGTCACTTTTTAAAAAATTAAAATTTTAAACAATTAAGAAACTTATTATTAATGAAATGCATTTCTATTTAAGCATTTCTCGAAATATGGTAAATGTTACAAAGTTAAATTTCAAAATGAAAGGAAACTTTAAGCACATGATAAAGTAAATAAGAGATGCATTTTCAACAAAAAGAAAATTGCGATCGAGTAGCAACTAGTGAGCATTTTTTAATCGCTATTTTATTCATTATATCCATGAATTTTGTCCTATGATGCTAGGGGTCTGCCCAGGCCTATAGTGACTGAATAATGAATATAGAATATCGAGCAAATCTGACAATTGTATATAAGTCAGGCATTGGTTGTAAGGTGGCTGTAAAATATCAGTTGAATCAGACAATTCTATACATAGCAATGTCGGAGCCAATGTCAAGATTCGTGAATATTAGTCCAATGAGGGCCCAAGTTATTTTGTTGTTAGGGATTATTTGTACACTTGCATTAGTAATTTTTACTGACTACTAACCCATTATGCAATTGGTAAAAATATTGAAATTTGATTGAGCTTTTATTTTCTGCTGTTAGATTGAAGACCTGTTCCTTACATTTGCAAAGAAAGCTTCTGCTTTCAACAGCTGGTTTGAAAATGCAGAGGAAGATCTTACCGATCCGGTTCGCTGCAACTCTATCGAAGAAATCAAAGTATTTATATATTTTATCATAAACATATTTTACATTGTGAACAGTTTTTAAAAAACTTCCCATAATTATGCTAAGCATAGACTATGATTTAGGATCTTCATAGGTTAAAAGAAAATCAGATTTATAAATCCTTCTATAGTTTTTTTTTACTGAATTTAAGATTAATCGGTTTAGTTACAATTTTCTTTCTGTATTAATTTTATTATGAAAACTACTAAATGCAGGGTATCTGCGCACTTGGAAAGTCATGAATTTCAGTACTGAACAAAATTTTTCATGATTTTAACTATTTTTTTTTTTTTAAAATCATGAAAAGTCATGGATTTAGGTTGTTGAAAAATCTAATTCTTAAAATGGAATCCACTCCCCCCATTTCATGGTGTTCAGAATATCTGAATTTGTAACAAAATCCCCATTCACCTTCCTATTTTATTAAAATATAAAATGTTTTAATGCTGTTCTATAAAAATTATGGTGTTCTTTCAAAAAATGAAAGAAAGAACATTGTTTCTAGAGCAAATTGTATTTTAAACTTCTATGATTTCAGAATTTTTGTTATTTTTTTTATTTTATCAATTTAAAATTCTAACTGAGGCAAGCCAGTCATTGGGGAATTTTTTTATTCGGAAATGAAAAAGGAAAATCTGAAGTATTTCTTTTTGATGAACAAGAAAAATATCGTTAGAATATGAGTCTGCAGAAAAAAAGAAGAAAAAATTATTTGCTTTTGTATTTTTTTCACTTATTTTATTGTTTCAATTCTTTCCTTACTCTGTTTTTTAAATTTAAAATCTATAAATAGAAAGATGCAGAGTATAACAGTTTTGGTTATACCTATCATTTCAATTAATGTTATTATAATGCTTTTTGAAATTATTGGTCTGTTTTTGTCAGGAGAAAATAGTAACTTTGTTAAATCATGAAAAGCTCTTGGAATTAGACATGGAAAGTCATGAATTTGAAAATCTGTAGCAGATGCCCTGGATTTAGGATCTGATTGGTTAAAAGAAAATAGGATTTATAAATCCTTCTGTAATTTTTTTCACTGAATTTAAGCCTAATCAGTTTAATTACAGTTGTCTTTCTATATCAATTTTATTATGCAAACTACTAAATGTATATTTTTTAAAATTTTTTACTGCAATATAATATAACTTTAAATATTTGTTCGATCAATAATTTCTAAAATGAGAAATTGTGCTATGATGTTAAAAATATATATATATTTGTTTATTTAATATTTACTTTTTGGTATAACTGAAATCAATCAATATGCCTCAGTGATTAGATTATTGAATTTGAAAAAGCAATTCAGTTAAATTTAAATTCGAAGTAAATACAGTCGACTCCCGCTATAGGGAACGAAATGTTCGCTCATGTGCCTTGCTATACACATATATTATTTTTTGTGGATGTAGTGAACCAAAAGAGAGGAAATTAAATATTATGAACTTTTTTCTGTCTTCGACTGATTTTTTCTTCTTCATATTTTGGTAATGTTGAAATTTCTACTTACAATACATGTGCAGATTTATTGAGTGGAATGTAGCCAGGGTTGGCTTTTTGCCGGCAGAAACTGGTTTTTACCATGCCAGTGGCAGAAACTGGTTGTAACCGGTAAAAACCGGCGGAAACTAAAAAAACTTCTATATTAGTTCTGGTAATTGCTTAATGACATTTTGTTTAAGTAAACTGAAAATTGTAACTGTAACAAACTTTTTAATTCATTGTTTGTAAATATATATTATTTTGTTTATATTAAATAAAAAGAGTGCAGTGTATCAAATATTTATCTTAAATAAAGAATAAAGTAATGTAATAATAAATATAAATTCTAAATTTTAGTTTATTAAATTAAACTCTGAAATTCAGTAATTATTATCATTTAACTCTCAATGTAACTGAATAGAGCTACTTTCTAATAGTTTTTTTTCTTTTCAAGACATAATTTGCATGGCAACAATCCAATTATTAAAACAGTAACAATTTTAATCTTTACTGTATGCAAGAGGTAATATAATTGGTTAGATTCACTGATTCGTAAATGTAAACAGGAATTTCACTGGTCACTTTGTTTAACATTTAAATGTTTTTTCTATGAATTATCTATTGTATGTCAATCTCAGTACTTAACTTTTATGTCATTTTCTGAATTTCTGCCAGTTTTGCCACAAATGTGGCAGAAAAGGGTTTCTGCCATGCCAGTTTTAACCGGTTTCTACCAGTGGTTTTAACCACCTGGGCAGAAACTTGCCAATCTTGAATGTAGCCATAAGCATTTTTTCTTGTTTGCTTCTTCTATCGCAGTTTCCCATTCCTAAATAAAGACTATCCCTAAATTTTTTGTGTGCAAGACAAAGAGTAATAAAAAATAAAAGTTAACACATTTTTTTTTTCCTTCATATTGTTCAATCATTTTTAAATTTCTGTTTATTGGTCATTTATTTAAGTAATGTGTAGTAAAAGGGAGCAGTTTGGAAAAATTAGTTAAATTTGTTTGCAGTGCAGATATAGTGAACTGAAATTTCGGTTCCTTGCAGGTTCACTGTAGTGAGGTTTGACGGTATATGTGTTAAAACAAAATTACAGGAAAATGAGAATAAAAGTGTGTGTGATTAGAAAGTACCCCCCCTCCCCCTGTGCCTCATCTTAGAGATTTTTTTTTCTCTATATAATGTCACCAAAATGTATTTTTTGTTTCCTAAATAAAATTCGAAGTTGTGTTCATCATTGAATACCTTTTCAAAGGTATAAATTTTGAAACCTTTATATTAATTACCTCTCAGAAATTCAGTATTTTGACAAATGTAAAAGCAAAGTATTAATTAACCTGTTCTATTTGATGTGATAGGCATTACGAGAGGCTCATGCAAAGTTCCAAGCATCTTTGAGCTCTGCACAAGCCGATTTTGAAGTATTAGCAGCTCTGGATCAGCAGATAAAATCCTTCAATGTCGGGGGTAATCCTTATACTTGGTTCACTATGGAAGCATTAGAGGATACTTGGCGCAATCTTCAAAAGATCATACAAGTAGGTTTCACATTTAACTTTTTGCTAAATAATTTTTTTTTTCCTTTCAAATATTCTGTGTAATTTTTGATAACACTTGATATGTTCATTTAGGAAAGAGATGTAGAGCTTGTTAAAGAAGACCAAAGACAAGAAGAAAATGATAGATTAAGAATTGAGTTTGCAAAGCATGCCAATGCTTTTCACCAATGGCTCACAGACACAAGGTAAACAATTTTCATAATAACACTAATGAGAGATCTATCTGCACACTATCTATTTAATTAGTTAGAAATTTCATGGCTCTCGTAACGTTTTTAATAATTGCTTATTTTTGATTTTCGTTTTTTAAAAGCCCTTAAGGTGCTTTTCTCATTAGGTGTTTCGTAAAAGTAGTAATTTTTATTTTCTGAAACAAGATATTTTTCTTTACCATGTCGATTTTTGCCGCGAATTAAGCAACAACAAAAAATATGAAAAATTTGAAATTTTTCTATTTAACATTTTTACTATTCATTCAACCACAATCTATTTCGGCATCCTGTTGATCCATGGCATATAAAAGCACCAATCATTTTAGATGTTTGATGAAATATTTGTGAGTCCTCATGTGCGCCTACTGAGCTGAAGTCGGTGAGATTCTAGCACTCTCATGTGCAACTCTGCTTGCAAGATATTCTCAGTTTCAGGCTTCGTTTTCTACCCTCTGATATCGTACCAAGAAATCTCTCTATATTTTTATGGTGGCTAATATAATCAGGAAAAAGAGTTCTTAGTCAGAAACTAGTTATTTTATCATGATCATGTAAAGTCTTTGAAAATTATTTTGCATTATGTTAATGTATATAGTGCTTAAAAATATTTTTTTAGTTCTTAAAAAATAGTTTAGAGGTGCTTATTTATTGTTGAGAGATTTGGCTATGCACCCTGTTTAAGCAAATAAAAGTTCTAAAAACAATGAATCTTATGCAGAACAAATTCATTCGGAAATGTGTGGATCACACCAAAATTTCTGCTCAAATCACATGACTTTTTATTTCCGTGATTCTTATGAGCCTGTCTTACTTATATTTTATTTATTATTAATTTGGTATTAATTTCATTTTTTTATTTTTTTTATTTTGCAGAATGTGGTTGCTTGATGGGTAAGTCGATTTTGTTTTGTGTTTTATTTTTTATAATCATTACGATTTATTTTTTTAAACAACTCTGAATCTTATCTAATGTTAGTTTCGTGAAATAATTATATCTTTTTACCATAATTATTTAATTAATTAAATTTTTTTTGCCAGGATTTAAATTTTACAGACTCTTTTTGCTCATAATTTTGTTCTAAAATCAAATTTTCAAATTAATTGGATGTAAAATTTTATATCTAGTACAATTTTGTTTCCAATGCATACCTGCCTAGTCTCCTGTTTTTTTTAACAAAGACTCCTGTATTTTGCAACTATCTCTTGTTTACCCGTATATTCTCAAATTTTCCGTATTTGTTAAAGAAGTTGTAAAAAAAAATTTTTTTTTGGCAATAAAATATCCGCTGATGGCAAAAATACTTCCTTTATTCCTCAACGGATAGTGCTATTGCCAGTACTGTAGTATGTTGAGTGTTAATAGTAAGTAGTAAATACCCCTTGCAGTGAGGCTATACTTGTCACGTATTTGTGATTTTCCTCTCCATGTAACCAGGGCTTCAAGTGCTGCGCATTTTGCGCCAAATCGGTATATTTGCGCATTACTGCGCAGAAACGNATATTCTCAAATTTTCCGTATTTGTTGAAGTTGTGAAAAAAAAAATTTTTTTGGCAATAAAATATCCACTGATGGCAAAAATACTTCCTTTATTCCTCAACAGATAGTGCTATTTGCCAGTACTGTAGTATGTTAAGTGTTAATAGTAAGTAGTAAATACCCCTTGCAGTGAGGCTATACTTGTCACGTATTTGTGGTTTTCCTCTCCATGTAACGCAAATGTGTGTTAGTCCATTAAAAAGTCCTCCACAAAGGCAAATTTCTTCCACTACTTGATTGATCCAGGAGTTCCATTGTCTTCTGGATTGGGTTCAAAATTACAAGGTTATGTAGTTGAACATTAGTAGCCGTAAACCCTAAAATTGAGTTGACTGTTTAACAACGGTTATAAAATAATTTAAGTAATTATAAATAATGGTGAGAAATTTCTTCTGTAGATTAAGATTTATATACATATCTTTTGCTAAATGCAAGTTATATTATTTCTAATTTGACTTTCTATTTTTTTTTATACATGATGTATCAAAACTTTACCTCATAGCCTAAAAAATTTTGCTAGTAAAATCTCCATTATTTTATTTCTTCGTTGTTGGTAGGTATGCCGTTGACATAAATGAGTAAGGATAAATTTTTAGAGCTGTTTACGAAATTTATGTTATGTATTTCTTTCAAATTTCATTTTAAATAGTAACATTAAATAATGTCTGAAAGGAAAGTCTAGAATTAAGCAAATTGTTTTTTAAAAATATTTTTCTGAGTGTTCAAAATACTTTTTTAGGTCATCGATGCTTGAAGGAACTGGTTCTCTAGAAGCTCAGCTGGATGCAACTAAAGTATGCATATTTAATTGTGTCTGAGCATCAACAAAACATTTTGCTCATATTGCAAAAAGAATTTAGGGACAAAATTATTTGTATCTAAAATTTTGGATAATTTATAGATAAATCATAACATCCATGTTAAGCTCTTTTCTTTAAAAACCAATTACTAATGAGGTGTTATCAAAGCAAATAAATAAAATTAATTATAGTCATAAAAAGTTATAACTATGTAATTGTAACCATAAAAAATTATATTTCTTCTTGTAATTAAAACTTTACTATAGCATTATAAGTTCAGCTTTTCCTATTTAAGTTTTTCCAGCATTTAAAACTAGCATATAGCTCATACAAGAGCACAATAATTCTGTATATAATATGTACAAGGAATTTTTTTTCCAGATTTGAGTGGCAACCCTGTAATACATTGAAGGGTTAACAATAGTGTGTAGCGGGACTTTAAAAAAAAATGTTGATTTTCCATTATTTTCCCATATTTAAGTTGATTTTCCTTTTTAGCGCAAAGCAGCAGATGTGAGGGCTCGAAGAGCAGAGCTGAAACAGATAGAAGATTTAGGCGCTCTTTTAGGTGAACACCTTATTCTTGACAATCGTTACACAGAGCACAGTACTGTAGGCCTCGCTCAGCAATGGGATCAACTTGATCAGTTAGGAATGAGAATGCAGCACAATCTAGAACAACAAATACAAGCAAGGTATGTTTTTTAAACTGAATTTAACCAATATTTGGGATGTATTTTGCCTCTGCTTATCAATAACAAGTCCTAAAATTAATTCATAGAAAATGTCAGGAATGAAAAAAAAAGTGCTTTTGTTTTTAAGAAACACGTTCATAAATTTTTCAGAAATGAATTACTTTCTTATTTTTTACTTGTAATATTAAAGTCCCACATTTAAATACAAGTTAACTTTTGTCTATTTAATAAATTGCTACAATTATGTCAATTTTGTTATAGTTAAAATGATTTTGAATATTTAGTGTTGGGTGTGTTTGAAATGGCTTAGCTGCACGTGTATTTTGTGCGATTAAAAGAATAAATAATATTTCAAGCATTTGTTGTTTTTTCCCTTGTATCTGGAAGCATTGCTTGTCACCTTAAAAAAATGAAAGACAAAATTGCAAAAAGGTTTAGTTTTTTTCTTATAATCTTTAAAAATGGAGCATGAATAAAAACTAATTTAAATTATGTAAGAAATTAAGTCCAAAGCAGAAATTGAAGTTTGATTACCGATCTCTAGTAGCATCTTTAAACAAATTAAATTATTTGATCAAAAACTGGCCTCACAGTTTTGTAATGAATTTCCACATTAAATAAACTTTTTTCTGCAAACTCCAATCAAAATCTACATAAATATTCTGCATCCTGCATTTAACATAATATTTTGGAGTTACCTTTGTGCAATATCAGTGAAGATTGCACTAAACTGGTTGTAGACCCTTAAATTAGGTTTAATTTTTATTTAGGTTTTATTATAGATTTCTGTAAGAACTGATTCTTTTCATCTAAAACCAGTTAGCATCAATATTATGTGTTTAAGGCATAATCTTAATTTAGAATCATTTTAAAGCGTGCCGTTTTTAATGAATCTCAAGTCTCTTCCACAAGAAAGAAATTTGCTAACTCTGAAAATTTATGCAATTAAATATAAAGAATATATTCTGGTGCTTCTTACAGCAATAATAATGAGGATGTCAAATTAGTAAACACTACACAAGCACTTAAAGTTCTCAGAAGAGCCTAAAAATATGCAATTTTTTTTTTAATATTTCTGAATTTTCTAAATATCAGAAGTAAAATTTTATTTTAATTTTAGAAACCAGAGTGGAGTTTCCGAAGATGCTTTGAAAGAATTTAGTATGATGTTTAAGTAAGTATTTTCTTTCTTTTTTTCTCTTCAACATTTAGATTTAATCTTCAATAAAAAAAATTTTTAGCAACTTAAAAATTAAATCTGATGTTTAGTTCCAATTAGAGTTTATCACCATTTTCTACTTTCTTTATCTTGTTAGTATCCCTCAAAGAATTAAAAACATTTTGTGTAGAATTTAAAATACACCAATTAGTATTGCAAAATGATGTTGTTTGTATGTGCCACATTCGAAAGTGAATTTCAAGTTTCTGATTAAGTTGTAAAATAAGTTTAAAATTAGCTATATTTTAAACTGACCTTTAAAATCATTCTATATATTTAAAATGAATATTTTTTTAGTTGTAAATGCTGTATTGCAGTGCACCACATGAGTTGAAACACACTTATAAAATCTTTCAATAAATTCTGAATTTATGGCAAGTTTTTGGCAAATAATTTTACTGAAAGTATAATTAATAAATTGAGTAGTTACCACTGAAGTGGAAAGAGACGCCTAGAATATTGAGAAGAAAAAAAACTAAAAATTTTAATAAATACTATTTTTGATCCTATATTTTTTACGATAAATTGTATTAAAAATAAAACAAGTATTTATCTTTGTATTCTGGGGGTTAACCGGAATTCCGGGTTTTTCGCATTATGCTTCCTGGTCTAAATATTATGAGCAAGGAATATGATTTTTCTGGGAATATCCCAGAATTCCATGTTTCTCAAGATCATGGTTTTTGGAATTTCGCTAATCAAAACTTATAAAGTTTTCAGATTTCCTCAATCTAAAATCCAAATTTTGAATCTTTCCCTAATTCGCGCTAACAAGACAAAATTAAAAAGTTACATGTTAATATTCGTATTCATGTGGTGTAAAAATCTTACATCATAATTTGTATTCACACAATTTTAAAATAATATATTCCGTGCGATTTTAAAATCTAGTCTCTGGGTTCATATTCATGCGATATTAAAAAATCCAACATCGCAATTCTTGCAAGAACTAATATCAGTTACTATAAAGGTGTGATGTTCATCATTGGTGGGTAATATAATTATTCTTGTTAAAAAAAATTATGTTAAATACAAAACATGTATGGTATAGAAATTGATATCTTGATATTGAATTTTTGCACTTGAAATTTTCTGGCTTTTTTACTTTGTGTCACAATTATCCCTGTGTTATCCCACAGTTATTTTATCCTCACTAGTACATATTGTGGTATAGGACTTCTCAGAAATTGTATTCTTACGTTTGAGTAAAAACCGATTTGGAAATTCATAATTTTTTCTTTTCTAGACATTTTGATAAAGAAAAATCTGGTCGACTAAACCACTTCCAGTTTAAAAGTTGCCTTCGTGCTCTGGGATATGACCTGCCAATGGTGGAAGAGGGACAACCAGACCCAGAATTCGAGGCCATCCTGAATGTAGTAGATCCTAACAGAGATGGCTATGTCTCCCTCCAAGAGTACATGGCCTTCATGATCTCCAGGGAAACTGAAAATGTCCGCTCCAGTGAAGAAGTGGAAAATGCCTTCAGAGCCATTACCTCAGGCGAGAGACCCTATGTCACTGCAGAAGAGTTATACGCCGTAAGTTGGATTTTTTATGAAATTAAGTTTATTAAAAGCAGCGACTAAATTCGAAAGCTAGCTTTAAAAACAGGGCATGTATTAAGTGTGTATTCTTTTATGAGAGATCAAAAGACAAGGTTATTTTTCTTATTGAATTTTGCTATAAATGGGAATATAGGGAATTTAAAAAATCATCTAAAATAACAGAGAATTTTAATTCTTTCTTTATGAACTGGTAAAATATAGTTCGTTCACAAGGAATTGGCACTTGGCTCCGCCTTTATCACGTGGTATCCGACGATACTATTTCGATGCTTTTAGGAGAAGGATGTGAGCAATCCTGAACGAAGTTGCTATTTGGCGATCGTATGACAAAATATTTATTTTGCAATCTTTATGGGCATTTGATAACATAAAATATTCATAAATTTGATAATATTTCTCTCTCTTGAGTAAATAGTTTGTCCTTTTTGAGACATTTTGCTGCAATATATCTAAATAGCTAGAGTAACGAAAGATATAATAGCAGATGATAAAGCGAGGTAAGTGACTGAAAAAGAATTCTCTGTTTGCGTTTGGCGTGCATTGAAGGGTTGTTTCAATTTCAAACACGAAGACGTTTCTCCTCTTACACCTGCGCTGAAATAAATTCTTCGTCCGAGGAGGTGGAGAAAAGTTCGAACGAACTATACAGGGAATTTTGTTTCTTATTTTTGTCTTTTAAAAAATTGTGACCACTCGAAGCGTAATCTATGGGATATTTAAAGATATTTCAGCTATACTGAACTATTTCATTTACTATAGCATTATTTGTTTTAAGTATGTTGAGCTGTTCCTTATTTTTTCGGCAATTAAATAAAATTAGCCTAATATAGCTCTCTTAACAAGGGCACAGTAATTCCGTGTTTCTTCTTCATGTATTGTGCATACTATGTGCAGGGAATTCTTTGTCTCGATTTGCATGGCAACCCTGTATTTGTTTTGTAAAATAAATGAATCACGGTGTTTGGCGTTTTTAAAGTGCTTATTTTCGTTTTTTTAAAAGCCCTTAAAGGTGCTGTTTTCATTGGGTGTTTCTAAAAAGTGCTCTCGAAATGGAGATTTTTTTTAATTATTTTTTTTACCATGTCTATTTTCGCCATGTATTATGCAAAAGCGTGCTTTTCACATTGCCCTATTCAACTTTTTCACAATTTATTCAACCACAATCCATTTTTGCGTACCGTCGGTAGGTAGCGTATAAAAGCCAGCCCTAGTCGTTTTACATGTTTGATAAAATACTTCCAAGTCTGCATAGTGCGTCAACTGAGCTGGGTTAATTTAGATTCTTGCTCTCTCATATGCAACTCTGCTGCATTTTGCAAGATATTCTCAATTTCAAGCTTCATTTTCCACCCTCTGATATCGAACCGAAAAATCTCTCTAATATTTTAGTAGCTAATGAAATCTAAAAAAGAGTTATTTTTCAGAAACTTGTTACTTTATCAAGATCATGTAAAGTCTTTGAAAATTATTTTGCATTTTGTTATTGTATATAGTGCTTAAAAATATTTTTTGAATGCTTAAAAGGTGCTTGTTTTTTGTTGAAAGATTTGGCTATGCACCCTGTAAATCGATGTTGTTTTTTTTTCCTTTTCAGAATCTTACAAAAGAAATGGCCGATTATTGTGTCTCACGAATGAAGCCTTATGAAGACAAAAATGGGCGAGCTATTCCTGGGGCTTATGATTACATAGACTTTACTCACACACTTTTCCAAAATTAAAGAAGCTGCTATTTATTGTCATTTGGTTTCTTCTATCTTCCCTTCATCAGCTGCTTAACTCTTTCCTTGAGATTAGTTGGTTGCTATGTAGATATACATTTAAAAAAAATATTTCATGTCCGGTGTTTTCTTTATGTTTTAATGCACTTTTATATACATTTTTAATTATAAAAATCTTGAGACATTTTTTATACAATTTAATTTACTAGTTATAATAGAGGTTTTAATCAAATTAATGAATATTATGCTTTTATAGTAGTTTATTTTTCTGAATTGTGTTGCAAGCCAAGTAAAAATTAAATTATTTTTCTTGGATTAAGTCAGATTGCTAAAAAGATGATCTCACTATTTTTCATTTTATCTGAAATGAGTTACGTTGAATTATAGAGATTTAACAATTACTTGCACAATATAGATTGTTTTCCTAATAAAACTTAGGTTGTGAATATTTATTAAACTTATGTTCACGAAAATAATTGCTTTTATTGTATCAAGCTTCTAAATAAAATTTTGTTTTGATATAAAGCTATTTTTTTCCTCCTTTCACTCTCTTGTGTGTTTTTAGATTTAATTCAGATTTTCCGCATAATTTTTGCTAGCACCTTAGTATTCCAGAACCCCTTTTTACCTTTTCTATCTTTTATTTATTTATTTTTTTCAATATAAAGAGCTATTTTTGCTTATTTTTTTGTATGAATTTTGTAACCTTAAATGGATAATATTAATATGATTGAATATATTGCAGCTTATTTTGTTGTTCAGCTTATAGAATATTATTTTAATGTTACTTTTGAAAAATGTCTTTGTTGCTACAGAAAACCATTACTGCAGGTTACACCTATTTATAAAATTTTATTGATTCATGAATTGAAATGAATATTTGTTTTGTGTGGGAAGTTTTAATAAATATTTAATATTTATATAATCTGTAAAATAGTTTTTCTTTAATGTAAACTTTTTTTTATGATTATTTGAGGAAGACTTGGCAAAATTATATATAAGATATAAAACTTAATAAAATATGAGAATTGCTTATTTATAAGTGATAAATTGTTATTTTTTAAATATGTGACTAGTTTTATTTTTGCAATATTTTTTTTTTCTGCATTTGAAAAAAAAATTTTCATCTCATCAATAGAATTGTTAAGTTAGAACTAAAAAAAATAAAAAAAGCTTTGGCTGCACAATATTAAATATAAAGAAATAAGTTTCTTACAATAATAAAATGAACTAAAATATACTCTTTTGGAAAAATACTGCCCACAGTTATTTTTGTACACTTGTAAAAAAAATTTTAAGGCAACCTAAAACTCTTTAAATTGTTGTAAAACATTATTTTTTCCTTGTGTGAGAATTTAAAAAAAAAACAGTTACATTTAAAAGATATTTAATATTAATGTGTGTTATTCTTGTTTACTCTTATCAAGGCGTCAAAACTCTAGTCAAGGTTTTCAAAAAGTGCTTAAAAGTTCTTATTTTGGTTTTTTAAAAGCCCTTGAAAGTGCTTTTTTTTTATGGGTTTTTGTAAAAATTGCTTACTTTTACCTTTTTGAAAATGAGATTTTTTTTTTCTTCATTTTTGCACTGTTGGGTTTTTGCTGCTTATTATGCAAAAGTGTGGTTTTCACATTGTTCTATTCAACATTTTCACAATTCATTCAACCACAATCCATTTCGTCGTGCCGTCTGTCCGTAATGTATGATAGTGCCAAACATGTTTCATGTTTTAATGAAATACTGGGGAGTGACTTCTGAGCTGATTTCGGTGAGATTCTTGCATATTTTGTGCAACTCTGCTTGCAAGATATTCTCAATTTCAGGCTTCATTTTCCATCCTCTGAAATCAAACTAAAAAAATCTCTCAATCTTTTTTATTATGGCTAATGTAATCCAGAAAAGAGTTCTTTGTCAGAAACTAGTTATTTTATCATGATCATGTTAAGTCTTTGAAAATTATTTTGCATTTTGTTAAGGTATATGGTGCTTAAAAATATTTTTAGTGCTTAAAAAGTACTTAAAAGGTGCTTATTTTTTGTTGATAGATTTGGCAACACATGGAGATTCTCACGCTGACTGCCAGAAAATTTAATAATTTAGTTATACTTATTTTTAATTATGTTACTTTAAACTACAAATTATTACCCTGACTAACATCAAAAAATATTATTGTATTTATTTTCAGTTAAGACCACTTTTTATTTTAATTGAATTTTAAAAGATTTCTTTTGTGCTAAGTGTTAAGTTTTTCTGTTGTAAAATGAGTTATTTTTTTTACGAAGTTATATAAGACCCTTTTTCTTTGATTGAACTGACATATGGACTTGAGAGAACTGTTAGAGCAAACATGATGCATGCTCTAAAAACTGATATGAAAACATTCATCAATATTTAGATTAAAATTTCTCACTCACTATCGAAATAATTTCAGTAAACAAATTAATCCTTAAGCAGTCTAATTATTGAAATTATAATTAGTTTAATTCCAAGCTAATAAAAACTTAAAAATAAAAGTTTATGAGATACAAACTTAAAAACCGAAAAACTTATCTTCTGTGAGCTTTTTATTTTGAACATGGCTCAAAATATGTGGTTAATAAAATGAACATAGCTGTTTAAGTAAATAAACACACCTCAAAATGCACATATAAAGAAATGGACAAAGCTCAATACATGCATTTAAGAAAATGGGCAAAACTCAATGCATATTTAGGTAAATAGACACAGCTCATAATGCGTATTTAAGGAAATGGACGCCTTAAAATGCACATTTAAGGAAAATGGAGAAATCTCAAGATGCGTAGAATAAATAAATTAACATAGCTCAAATTGCGTATTTAAAAAAATCGACTCTCCTTTTAATTCATTTTTTAGTAAATGGACACAGCTCAATAAGTGTCTTAATGAAAATGAGTGTAGCATATAACATGTATTGAAGAAAATTAACATGGCTCAAAGGGTGTATTTTTTAAAATTCTGTTTTAAAATAAGAGTATTGTTTTTCTTTTAAAGAATTAACTAATGAATCCAAGCGAATTCGTTATCCGTTTACGTGAACCACTTTTTTGAAGGCTTCTATCATCACGAAATGACCCCCTCCCATCTTTTTTTAGAATAACATACTATTTTTATAGTTGCTGTGAGTTTGCAAGAGTTATTTATTATTGTTAGGTTATGTTTAGCATATCTTTATGTAGCGCCCTCTATGCTAATTGTGAAAATGGTGTTTCGTGAAAGGAAAGAAAAAAAATTGTGATCCAATATTTTCCTGACTACAAAGATACTCCAATACTGTATTTTCTGAACTTGTTAACACTTTCAAAAATTAAGAATTATTCATCAATTATAATTCTCATCTAGGTGGATCATAATCTTACCTAATAAGCGATTTAAAAAATAAATAAAAACTTTTGAAATACTCACTTTATTTTCCCCTTCTAAAGCCCAGGTATTTCTTAGTAGCACAATGGTAAATTTGTTACTGTTAAAGTGTATAATTCAGTTGTTTCATAGAATAACTAGTTATTTCATACTTTAAATGAAAATAAATGTCTGAAGTTATTTTATAAATTAATTGATCATAACTGGCTAAAACCTCTCAAATAATACATTTATCTCTCTAGCGAATAATTAATTGTTAAATAAGGAAGAGCAACATAAATACACAGTTGCAACGGAATGAATCGTACACACACACGTCATTGCAAAGCAGCTACAAGTGATCAATAGTTTTAGTACTTTAACGGACTTATCTAGAGCCGGGATGGAGCGTTCGCCTTCCAATGAGGTGAACAAGGTTCGAATACCAGCGATGGCTGGTCAATACGAATCCGCACCCGGCTTGCACCGACCACGGTATTGACGTGAAATATCTTCAGTGGTGGACGAATCATGGGCAAGAGTCTCTTTACCGTCAGGCTAACCGTGGGAGATTCTCGTGGTCTTCCTCTCCAAGTAACGCACATGCGGGTTAGTTCCATCAAAAAGTCCTCCACGAAAGCTAAATTTCTCCCAGTACTTGATCCAGGAGTTCCCTTGTCTTCTGGATTGGTTTCAAAATTACAAGGCTATGGAGTTGAGCATCATTAGCCGTAAACCCAAATATTGGGTCGGCTGTTCAACGGCGGTTATAAAAATAATAAAAAGCTGACTTATCTAGTTATTTCATGAAGAATTTAACGGTAACATATATATATGTAATAAAATTATAGCTTTGTCATTTATGCACTTAGCGGAAGAACTCTGATAAACACTGTCAACATATTTTTTAACTTAGTCCTTTATCAAAAGACTTCAACAATCTACAGTGGAGATGGTTGAGTATTTTTATATCAATTACAAACTGATACTAAGTATCAGATATGTATTTGAATTCATTAGATCTAAAAGTTCTTATTAAATTTATAAGCTTATCGCAAATTTTAATTTGTTTAAACTGTACACTTAAAAGTAATTTTTGTCTTTAGAAGAAAACCTAAAATTTAAGAGAACTGTAAATTTAAAATTAAGAGACATTAAAAATAACAATTTAATTATTTCTAATTAAGAATTTCATTATTTGTTGTGTTTGCACTGGCAATAAAATATAAAAATTAATTTAAAATTGAAAAGAAAAACATACTAAAAGGGAAATCAATTTCTTCAATGAATGAACAGCTACTAGTTCTTTGAATGCCTTAGAACCGTGGTTCCCAAGGATGAAAATGGCTCCTAGAGTTTTTTTTTTTTTCTTTCTTACCTTCCAGTAATGATTTTTTAAAAATCATTCTACATTTAGATCTAAATAAAACTAATAATCTATTACTTTAATATTTCGTTTGAATTAATGAAATTATTAAAAAAAAAAAGGCGAATGAGAAAAAAGCTTAAAAAAATATCAAATAATGTTTTTAAAACAATTCTAATAAAATTTAATTTTTGAAAATACCTGCATTTATGAATAATTTTATTAATATTTCCCATCACGCTTTTCAAATCAAAATAAAAGAACTAAATTCGTTGATAAAGGAATGTTTCCTCGGTAAGCATTTACAACGTTTATAATATAGTTCTTGTAGTTCTCATTTTAACGAAATCCATAATTTGGCTTATTTGTTTCATTTTCGCTTACGATCACAGTGCTGACGTAAAATATCCGACAGATAATGGTTTAGAGTCCCCTTGCCGTCAAGCTAACCGTGAGAGGTTTTCATGGTTTATCTCTATGTAACGGAAATGCGGGTTAGTTCCGTCAAAAAGTCCGTGTGTACGTGCGTGTGTGTTACTTAGAATGACAGAAATTGGTGGTTGTTGACAATCACATAGCCGCTTTGATAAATATATTAGGTGTTAAATGTCACTACTTGGTATAAATTTGCCCGGTATGCCCTACATCAATGTTTTTTTAAAGTTCAGTGCCACTGCCCGCCCGGTATACATTTGTCCAGTTCTTCGAGCACTGATGTTTCTCCTAAGTATTCTCAGCAGATATTAAAATATCGAATACATTTAATAATGTATAAATTAATATCAAATCGGATATAACAAATATTTCGGACTTTCACCAAGCGATTATGTGATTGTTGACATTCAGCGGTGAAAGTCGACATTCTCTTGATTTATGACTATCAGGAGTTGACCTCGAGCGATGGCTTTATGCCCATTGATACTGCGTAATATAAATTATCTTTATTTTGATAGGATGAAATTTAGATAGCATAAACATGACTTGAGAGCATAAAACTACCGGAAAGGGCAACAAATAGATATAGAAAAAAATAGGAATTGATTTAGCATTGTGTTGGTGCATGTTATACGGTAATGGGCATGCTTAATATCGATTTATTGATCATTTATTTTCTTTACCCTGTACGAAGAACGGACATAAAAATTATTGAAATGAAAAAAAGAAAAAATCAGCTGTCCTTGAGAGAGGCCCTACCTCCCCCTAGGGCCCTAATGCCATAGCATAGTTGCCTGAGGACCCTACACTAGACGGGGTGTCCGCTTCCCGTTCAGAGATTCCATACACTCCCTCAGTCTAAGTCCCTAGGGCCTTTCATGACTGCACTGTGAGAAATTTTGGTGACCTTAAATGGGAGCTAGTTTAATCATACTATATCGTGTATTTTTTAAACTAATGTGGTTCGTTTTAATTCCCTCTTAAATGTAAAAGACAGATTAAATCAGAATGCATTTTTGTTTTAAAAACAGAAACTGATACAAAATTTATGATCAAAACTTATGTCACGCTGAAAATTGACCCGTTTCTTGTTATGTTATTCCCTATGTAATACAAATGATTAAACCCCTAAGCGGAAAAACGATTACACTCTCTCAAGTTCGCACTGAAAAAACAACAGGAAAAATTCTTTTCCATTAAAACAAAAAAAAAAAGAAAAAATTAATAATAATAATAAGGTTCTGACTTAGCGCTAGAAGGCGAAACTAAAACCAGTTTTTAAGAAGATAGTTGGAAGACTGGCCCAGATGTTTGATTGAATCGGTAAGGAAAGATTGAGAATGAGTAATAAAGAAATTAGGTATTCTTTTTATTTCAAGAATTAGTTGATCTACGATAATCATTAGTTGATTGTCGATAATCCATCGAATACCATTTTCACATTTTCGACAGTAATCATGTCACTAGGATTTAAAGTAAGTAATTCTCTTTTTTTTTCTGCAACTGTAATATTTATTTTTGAAAATGGTGTTTATTCTTAAATATTCAAATTAAAAAGAAAGAAAAAGAACAGTTTTCGTGTATTTTACAAATTATTTCGTTTTTTTTTTTTTTTAATGGAAGATAATTTATTCCTACATGTTAGAGCAAGATATTGTCACCGTGACGTAATACAACATATATCTTTGTTCAATGGACGAACACGGCTTTATGTAATTACGTATGATATTGATTGACGATAATCCATCGAATACCATTTTCACACTTTCGACAGTAATCATGTCACTAGGATTTAAAGCAAGTATTCCTTTTTCTTTTTTTTTTCTCTACAACTGTAATATTTATTTTTGAAGATAGTGTTTATTCCTAAATATTCAAATTAAAAAGAATAAGAAAAAGAACAATTTTCGTGTATTTTACAATTTAATTCGTCTTTTTTTAATGGAAGATACTATGTTATAACAAGGTATTTACACGTGACGTAATGCAACATTTTTCTTTGTTCACTGGATGAACATGCCTTTATTTAATTACGTATGATATACTAATTAGTTCATTACACAAGAAAATGGCGCATAATATGTCTATAAATATATTGTATTTTTCAATTAACATTTTATTTTGCAATTATATTTACATTTTTATATTATAAGTACAAAATATAGCATTAAAAGTACTTTATAACCTTTAATTATTTATTTTTTTAATATTTTTCTTATTAAGTATAGATAATCTGGATAATCTGTGGTTATTCTATTAATTTCCTGGTGTGACAGGGAGATGCAACAGATTTACTGTATTGTAGAACTGACCTTCTACAATATATATATANCACAATAAATACAAAAAGGGAAAAAAGAAAAACGAAGAAAATTAAGAAGAAGAAAAATAAGTTTTATTTTCTGCTCATAATCTGCAAGTATATAGAACTCTTAAAATAAGTTCAAAATGTAGAGAAAACATGGAAAAAATTACAGAATAATGAAAAAAAGAGAAGAAAATAAAATAATTAAAAATAAAAAAATTTATAAGAATCCGCGGAAAAAAATATTAATAAAAATCCGAAATTCAAAAATTTCAAGAATGATTCAAAATATTTATTTCTGTTTTCTTGTACGAAATACAGATTCTCAATCTTGTTACGAAAATATTTTCACTATTGAAAATTTTCCCGTTTATGTAATTTCATTTGAATTCGGTACTCGCTTTGTAGTTTTCGTTTTGTTCTGTTTTTTCTTCACATTTTATTTTCTGTTTTTAAGTGCTATTTATTGCTTAAAATGTTCTATTCTATTTTGTTTTTAAAATTTTTTTTGTAAAAGTAAAGCTCAAGGATTGTTTCTGGTTTAGTTGAAACACCAAGAATCCTCTTCTACACTATACGTTCTTCTTAGGATAAAGTAAGATTCGTTAATTTAGGATGCACATTTACCGGAAGACTCAAATAGGTGGTTGTCGCTGTTTGATCAGTAAATTTCAACAATCTCATAGTCGCTTTGGCAAATGCCCGAAATGTAAGCTATAGTTTGTCTAAAGTAAGAACTCCTCTAGCCATTCGTTTGGACCCGTGACGGTTATTATCGTAACGAGATATAACTATTTCAAGTAGGGTCATTGTTTAGGACTGGTTTTGGCTCAGATCGGCTAGAGAAAGGGTTTTGTGTTAGCCCTAGAGTGAAGAGAAGCTACTCTCCCTGAGACGCTTTATTCTTGTTTCCATAGCAGCAGACGGTCTCAGATTTTGTGGCGGGGGGAGTTCTTACCGTACACAAACTCTTTAATTAAATTAGTCTATTTATCAAATACCACACAGAGAATATCAATAGGAATTCAAACTAGGCTCGACAAAAAAGAAGCGTATAGAAAAATAAATATTAAGAAATAGTGCCATACAAGTGACAGATTCATGTATAACTGTGCTAATGGCAGTATGTAATTTTCTTTATTAACTTAAAATATACATGCCTTTTATAACAGTTAAATTCTGTTTCTGTGAAATGTTCAGTCACGTGCGTAACGGCAACAAATTCACACGTTCTCGTACTCGAATTGTAAATAATCTACCATTGTCATCTTACGGCTTACTGCAAAATTGAAGACAACAATTCGTGAATGCATCTGATCTTGATTTAAGTGTACTCTATTATATTTACTAGAAATTTATGTTTTCCCTTTTAAGTTTGTAAGAAAAGTGCTTGATTCATCATAAGTCCTAAGCTTAGGATTCCAAATCTCTTAAATATGAAATAAATAATTTATTTATTTTTTGCGTGTTTTTCCTTTAGAAATATTTTAAAAGCGTGTCGACAAAAATTGAAATAAGCACAGACTCAAATTTACTAATGTATCATAGTTTATTTTTGTTATAAATAATTTTGAAACATTTTATAAATAATTGTGTAAAAATTTGCTTTTAAGTTTCGTTTCCTAACAATTCTGTACCTACAGTTCCCGGAATTCTAGATCAAGTACTGAATATCAAAACTTGATTTGATATTAACTTAGAAAAAGGTATTAATTCGCACAATTTTAGGAATTTTTTAACAAAAATTCGGAGGCTTATTCACAGTTTTTTCACCAGAAAAATGTTTTGCCTTAGGGTATTCATCTATCAAAAGGTACCTCAAGATTAAATCGAGTTAGCATGTCTTATATACTAGTGAATTAAATGTTTAATTTTCGTAGTGGTAGTTGCGCTACAGTACGTCCCGCCAGAATTTTGTCAGGGAAAGAATTCGATGAACGGATACCACTAACTACCCTATCTGAGAAAGACCGGGAGAGCTGTGTTAAGTTCACCGGATTTTGAGCACTTGTGGTGAGAGTCGTATCAAGTTCACCGAATCTTTGAGTATTTGTAGTCAGAGCTGTATGAGTTCACGATTGTGGGTGTGGTCCCTCCTGTGCTGCTATTAGCAGTCGAGTGTGCGCAGGATCCCGTAATGTGTAAATGAGGCTCAAAAGCAACAGCGCGAATAGGACAATGACGCAGTCACAAATAGCCAGTCAACTTTTTTTTAAATGTGTACCATCCATCGAAGTATCTAGAAAGTTCATATCACGTCCGGGTCACCAATGGAGGAAAAGGAATTTTCTGCTGTGCCAACCTTTATCTATCAAAAGGTACCTCAAGATAGAATTGAGATAGCATGTTTTATATACTAGTGAATTAATGTTTAATATTCGTAGTGGTAGTTACGCTACAGTATCCTTAAGTCTAGCAATTCACCAATTTTATCATTTTCTATAACTGTTTTTCAACATTTTACATATTTGATATTTTGTGAACTATTTTTTGCATAACATCATGGTCTTAATTTGTTTATATTTTAAGAGATGTTTAAGTTTTTTTTCTATAATCCGATTTCTTTATTTATTTTGGTTATTGGAATTATTTAGTAAATAATAAATTAAAATCAAAATGAACATAGAGGAAAACGGAAGTTAGTAAGTGTTTGGAAGTGTCTGCTTTGGTTTAAATGTACTCCACGGATGTAGGTCACGCATAACTCGCACAGGGCCCCGATTTACAGGTTTCGGGGGGCCCTCTAAGAAAAGTTGACAAGTTTCAGTGTTAAGATGCATGGTATTTAACCACAATATCCAAAGATAATTTTTTTCGACAGCAGAAAATTGTAAACAACCTGAAGCTCATTTAAAAATACATCATACAGAAATTCAAAATTTAATTAAATAAACTGTGAAGAAGAAAGAAAAAAAATACCAATTATTCATAATTTGGTAATTTGTCATGTTTGTAACTTATTAATTTTTTAAAAATGTAATTTGAAAGGGCCACCAACTTGTATGGGGCCCTGGGTAGGGACCGATCAAGAGAAATTCAGGCCCAAGACCCACAAAATTTCCCGGGTAGTCCTGAGTATAAAAAAGAATCTATTGAACTGCATGATTCAAGAGCAATACAGTAAAAAATTTTGAAAGCAGACAATTGAAGATCATTTTTCTAAGATAAAGTTTACACATCTAAATATTAAAGCAAAATATAAAGCAACAAAACAATGTTGTTTGAAAATAAAAAATAGTCTGGTGACCACAAACAACTGAAATCGGTGATTTTTGTTAAAAGTCACTGATTAGCTGAATTATTTTAAAGATTGTACCCTTCCATCTACAACTTAACGTATTTGTTAAGAATTATCATTTAATTCTTGTTGACACTAATCATTTACAAGAAACTTTGCGAACGTGTGTTTCCGTTGAATTTACTTAAGCCGTTGGTGTAAAAATTGCACCATTAAAATTTAGCTGTACCTTCGAATTTGATTAGTGCACAGTTTACACGAGGTGCAAAGTTTACACGAGTTTGGTTTAGCACAATATAAAGAAAATTTAAAATTAAAAAAAATGCATTTTTTGAGAAAAATTTAAAAAAGAAAATAGTAATATTGTGGATTTTTTTACTAATTTTTGAGATCCCCCAGAAAGTGTGGGCCTTAGGCCCATGCCTAGGCGATAATCAGGCCCTGGGCACGTGCCCTGAATGCACTCCCATAAATCAGTCGATGAGATTTTATCGAAATTATTGTGAAATTCTGTATAGAAATAGAATAACTTAATTCATGAATGTTTAGTTTATTTTCCCATCGTGTATAAGATTTAAACATTTTGAGAATAAAAACAATTATTAGGTGTACAAAATGTTTCCAAAAATATTATATTCGAAGTTAGATGAGCAAAACAATAAATATTAAATTGCTTCTTCCTCTTCTCGTGTTTCTGAAATGATTAAAACGTGAATTTAAAAGCACACAACCTTTTTCAATTCTTAACGCAACCTTGATATTGAATTCATCTCTCCATTCATAAACAAACGAGGAAGTTCTGTTCTTTGTCCCCACTTACGTAGTTATTTAAATGCTGGGTGTTTCTTTTAGTGAAGAGAAGTGTATCGAAATATTCGCGTGATTGCTCATGAAGTGTACCAAACTTTAATTTTCAGAAATTACATTTCTTAACTGTATAAAAAAAAAGTAAATAAATGAATAAAAAATACAACGCTATCATATGGGAACTTTTTGTTACAGTAAAATTTAAAAGTAATTTAGCTTAATATTGAAATATAATGATAGCTTTCTTTCGACGTTTATGTTTAATAAAAGAAGAAGAAAAATATACGATATTATAACGACATAAATGAAGATGTTGTTGCTGTAATTTAATTGCGTCGCACTAGATCAGCTCAAGGGACTGTTGGCGATAATCTGGAAAGCATCACTGAGGAAAATCTGCAGACATGTAATCACAATTTTGATCTTCTGTAGAGGAGGGTTGCACCCCCGCTTCGGTAGAACAGTTTAAATAGGACCAATACCGCACACCCTCGGTCCCTACGCAGACTGATCCTGGTGACACGCTCGCACACTGACCGCAGCCAGTGATGCTTGACTTCGGTGATCTGCTGGGAACCGTATCTTAACGATCAGTTCACTGTGGGACATATAATAATTTAACAAAAAGGAAAAAAAACCGAAAGGATATAATCACGTCATCAGCTCACATGATTATATCCGCAAAAATAGTGCTTTCTAATATTGCACTAACATAATAATAAATTTGTACTAATGTATAAATTTAATTTACAGCTTTGTAGCGCAGCAATATTGATATCATGGCTCATTTTTCTCCTCACATCATCGCCTGGTTATATTGAGGCTGGCCCAAACAGTAATATATCCGCCTGTCACTATTGCGATGATGATGTCGATTTTTCTGTCCGAAACCTTATTTGTTGCTCACTCACTAGCAGATGTTGCGGGTAAGACTACATGCATTTTGTTTACATTCCTAATCATATTAGAAGTTCGTGCAATCTAATATATATATATCAAGACAAATTCAGNTTTTTTCTTGCCTTTTTAGGGTGTAAAAAAGAAGAAAATTCATGTAGAAATAGTGTGCTCAGAAAAACTTTTTTTAAATTTTTTTGGCCGCCTAATTGGTGTTTATTTGTAGAATTGCTCATATACCGATTTTCAGAACCATCTATAGAGGGGAATGTAGCGATAAGCATTTTTTCTTGTTTGCTTCATTTACCTCACTTTCCCATCCCTAAACAAACCAAGCAGATGTTTCCAACCCAGGCAGACGATGCACCTGTAAGGTGTCAGCGGGATCAATATGCATTTTTTTCAGAAGGAATGAGTAATTATTCATTATTGGTCAAAGAGTTGGACACTAATATGTGTTGATAAGGCCATCATTTCAACTCCTTTTTTCTCTCAGTTCAGTTAAAATAAAACCTGCAAACAAGTGTCTCAAATTTAACTATGGCTAGCAGTAAACGTAAAACGTTCTCCTTTGTTGATAAACTGGGCATAATCAGAAAAATTGAAAATGGATGCAATCAAGCTGATAGTTGCAGGGAATATAAACTATCCAAATCTGCAGTTTGTAACATATGGAAAAAAAGACAATAATTTCTGCTCATGAAAAAAATTTAGATGGTGGAAAAAAGTTGAGAAAAGCAGATCACAAGGAAAATGAAGAAAAATAGCTAATCGAAGAAGCCGCAATCTTCCAGTATCTGGCAAATGTCGATGAATTTGCTAAGCGATTTTATGAAACTACTTTTACGTGCTCGAATGGCAGGTTAGACAGGTTTAAAAAGCGGAATAACAGAAATTCAGGAAAAATTATCTGAGAGTCGGGAATTGTTTCCATATCTGATGGTGAGGATTGCTTATCAGCTAAAGATTACTAATTTTTTTGTACGCAAGACGAAGAGTAATGAAAAAAAACACATTTTTTGCCGCTACATAATATTTTTCAGTCATTTATTTGAATAATGTGTAATAAAAGGGAGGAGTTAAGGAACCATTAGTTAAATTGACTGCGTAATGGATGTAGTGAACTCCCGGTTATAGTGAACAGAAACTTCGGTCCCTTGAAGGTTCACTATAGCGGGGTTTGACTGTATATATATTAGTCCCTGGACAAATTATTAGACGCACTATAAGATTCTATGTAAAACCTTAATTATCAGGTGATACTTATACAGTTTTATTGTTTTTACGCGGGTGAAACCAGTTTGCAGTTGTTTACGTTCGTGTATCAACTGGTTAACATTGTAATGCAATATGTTATAAATAAATATAAATAGGAAGTATGTAAAAAAATCTCCTGAATAAAAACCGATTACATGCATTTTTAAATATAAAAGTAATGCATACAAACTCGTGCAAATTATATAATAATTAAAAGACCACAGTGCGTCTAATAATTTGGTTTAATTATTATACTATACCAATATAATTCCTGATATAATGAATATTCTAATACATATATCGTCTAATGTATTCAATCGTCGAATTTATATCATATATCGTCTAATTTAACCCATTTATACACGAACGTATTAAGTATACTGTATTAAGGTCACCGTACTTTTCGAGTGCCGATCGTGAGAGATGTATTAAGTTCACGGACGCGTGTGTGGTCTCTGTTGCAATTAGCAGACGAGTGTAAGCAGGATTCCATTGTGGTTTGTAAATGAGACTGAGAAGCAACAGCACGAGGAAGGCAGTCACAAATTGCAAGTCAACTGTTCAATGTGAACCATCCATCGAAGTTAGCGTGTTAAGTCGGGGTCACCAGTGTGGGGAGAGGAATAGATATCGACAATGTCAACCTTCATCTATGAAAAGGTATCTGAAGATTGAATCGAGTTAGCATGTCTTATATAATAGTGAATTGGACTTATATTTATGTAGTGGTAGATACACTACAAGGTTTCAAAGAAGTCATAAAGCTAATTTTACTTATATAAAGCACTTATTAAATGCTTTGATACAGTAAACAACCTAAACCAGGAATGGCGAACCAATGGCACGCGTGCCATTTATGGCACGAGACACAATATTTTGGGCACGCCATCGATCACAATTGGGTATACTATAGCCTACGTCACAGATCGTGTTATTCCTACTAAATTTAAATAGTAAACAGCATTTTCTGCGAACCTGATTTCTAGCAACAAGTAAAAGCATCAAACGAAGTGTCTTGTTTATAAGTCGCTACTCGCCAGGTTGGAATTGTATTAGTCTAGTTCCTTTGGAAATAATTTATATTGTTGTTTTACCGAAGTTTATGAATTTAGTTAATATATTTAAAACTCAGTTTATTAATTAAACTAAAAGGTAAATGTTATTCCTAGTAAGTGGAAGTAGTTGTGCTTTTTTCATATTATACCCAATTGTTATTACACTATACTATGAATTGTCATTACACAAATGTTATTGCACTATGAAGCATATTTAACAATTAAATTAAAATTCACAAAACAAACAAAATAATAAACATTAATAAAGGCACGTCTATGACCTCATTAAATAATTTTTTAGAAAAAAATTGCACGTTGGTATATAAAGGTTCGCCACCCCTGACCTAAAATCATTCTTCTTAATGATTTGGCAAAATGATTGGTCGACACTTTGAGTCCTTCAGGTACCATTAATTGCTTCGTTATTTCTTTCTATAGTCATTGTCTAGTCTAGATTTGAAAACACAGTTGTCGTGTGGCGTAACTACCACTATAAATACTAAATACCAATTCACTAGTATATAAGACATGTTATCTCGATTTCATCATAGGGAACCTTTGTAGAGATGAAGGTTGGCATTGTCATAATATAAATCCCCTTAGTTGCATTTTATATGAATTTAGCCCTTTTATTGTTTCGAAAAGGAGGAAGTTCTATTTTTGATGCATTATTATCATATTTTAAATATAATGAAATTTAATTTTAAAAGAAGACAGCAATTTTTATATAGTTTTCATTGACGTTAGGGAGTGAACGAATTAAAGTAAGTGATATATTAAGTCATACAATTCATAAATAAAATATTCTAAATTAAGAAGAAAGGCATTTTAAAAACGAAAGTATTTAATTAAAAATGAAATATAAAAAAAAGAACATTATTTACTTTGAATTCTAGACAATTATGATAACTGACATTAATGCGCATAGGAATCAAATTATTCAAAAATATGTCACGCCATTTAATTTTCGATCCTACAGTTCCCTATAACTCTGAACGTTATTTGAGCTTCAGAGCATGCGCATAAATTTACCTACTAATAGCAGTGTCGCTATGTTTAACGTAAGACAAACTTTAAGCAAAATTTCTCCAATGCAGAAGCAAAAATATTCTTCCTCTTCTTCAATTGCAGTACGAAATAGCTTTGGTATTCGAATTCAACGTCACAAATTTTTATTTAGAAGTTCCGTTTGTTTTCAAAATTTTAGGATCCATTTGTAAGTTCTTCATTTAGAGTATTATAGATTTAATGTATGCATTTTTTCTTTATTTTTAGTGACTGAAAAGATTTCCAAAAGTATGTTTCTTATGAAATACTTTTTAAAAGTAAGTTTTTTTCTTCTTTAAATTAAATCTCTCCAAACAAGGGTTTTAACAATCCAACTTGAATAATTTTTATGCACCAATATTAATGGTCCAGAATATGAATACTCATTTTTAATGCTGACAACTAATTAAGTTACGGAATCTAACACAAATGAAGAGTTGAAGACCAAAGAACGTCCCTAAAAGCAGTTTCGGAGAAAAAAAGCAACTTTGCGCTCAAAAGGTTTTCCACAGAACAGCCCATCTTCACTGTGACACAACTCTCGGGGAGAACCGATTTTTCATGTTATTTACTTGTCAAAACTTAATAATTTTAAAAATGCAACAGATGGGAATCCAACCGTCATTTTTGTGGAAAATGGACGTATAAGGTTCTTCCCTTTTGGTCTTCAAATAACTTATTTAATAATACCTTTTTACGACTTATTTGGATTTTTAACCATAAAAAAGAGTGATAGCCGAGGTGTGAAAAGTACGGTCTGGAGAGTTTCATTAAAAGTTAACTTAGGTCCTTTGGCTAGTGGACTTAGGTCTTTAAAATTAATTTTACTTTTTGCAAATCTTTCGAATTTTTTATTCGAAACGAAAAATATTGGCACTCAGTTATACAATTCGTTTATCCAAAGATATTTCAACCTGGAAGATAATTTTTATGGATTATTTTTTATTTAATGATAGTTAGAATACTTTTGAATTGTAAGGTATGCAAATTTTTACTAAGTAACTTAAGAGACAAAATTTGTACGAAACTGTCCGGATAGTTCGCGAGAAATAAAAATTTAACTTGTACTTGAAAAATTTCTCAGGCCCAGTGCCCAACTAACCAGGCTATCTCGACACTCGAGTTATGGATATTGAACAAAAATCAAATACTGCTTTTAAAATGAGATTATTTTCCAAAATACATGCGCATAGGCCGGTATAGCCAGGTTGTTAGGGCGTCTGGGCCCATTCTAAGAGGTCGTGGGTTTGATCCCTGCCGGCCGTAGACTCCTTGTGTAGTAAATGGTGACCGATGCACGTTAAATCAATCGAGTCACAAAGTTCTCCATGTTCCCATAACAAAACAATACCTCTGAGTGTACTGATCCAGGAGTTTCCTTGTCTTCTAGATTAGTTTCAAAATTGCAAGTCTACGGAGTTGAACATTAATAGTCGTAAACCCAAAATTAGGTTCAACGATGGTTACATAGAAAAAATAAATAAAACATGCGTGGGGCTCTGTAGAAACGGGTTGCGCTTTTTTTTTAGTGTTTTGTTAACGCATAAAAGTGGATAACTCATTTGACTTTAATAAACATTCAGGAAATTTGTAGAACAAAATCAAAAGCTAATTTTATTCCAAAATGTTCAATAATATAGTTAATAACTATTTGATTGACGCACTAAATGATAGTCCATCGATCTTACACAAAAAATCTTTCAATTATACTGAATATCATTAAACGACACTTAGAAAACCCGCAACACTTACTCTGTGCAAAGTGGATGATGCCTTGTCTGTCTCAAATTGGTATTAAATTCAATTTATAGTCGGTTATCCTAAAATCAAGCTTAACGAAATGAAATCGAACATAGAATCTGTATCTATTGTAATAAACAAAGTAGGAAATGGTGAGTTTTGGTGGCGTGGAACTTCTATAGTTTGTCTACGGTAAGAACTCCCTGGTGCCTCAAAGTCTGAAGTCTTCTGCTGCTATGGAAACAAGAATAGTACATTTCAGGGAGGGTAGCTTCTCCAGGGTGCGTAGCCAAATCTGTTAACAACCTTTTAAGTACTTTCTAAGCACTCAAATAATATTCTAAAGCACTATATGCATTAACAAAATAATTTTAAAAGACTTAATATGATCATGATAAAATAACTAGTTTCAGACAAAGAACTCTTTTCTTGATTATATTAACCATTATAAAATCATCAAGAGGTATTTTGGTTCGATATCAGAGGGTGGAAAGTGCAGCCTGAAATTGAGAATGTCTTGCAAAATGCAGCAGAGTTGCACATGAGAGTGCATTAATCTCACCGAACCCAGCTCATATGCACATACGGACTCACAATTATTTCATCAAACATGTAAAATGATTGGCGTTTTTATACGCTATGGACCAATGGTACGCCGAAATAGATTGTAGTTGAATGATTTGTAAATAACGCTGAATAGAACAATGTTATAAGCACCCTTTTGCATAATATGTGGCGAAAATCGACATGATAAAGTAAAAAAAAATTTCATTTTCGAAAAGGGAAAATTAAGCACTGTTTAAAAACATCAAATGAAAAAAAGCACCATTAAGAGCTTTTAAAAAACGAAAATAAGCGCCTTTCAGTCCTCTATAAAAATGCTACGCACCCGGTTCTCTTCATTCTAGGGCTAAAGCAGTAGACCGAAGAAAAAGAGTTTCGCCTGTCCTAAACAATGATCCCACACCCCTACTTGAAATAGTTATAACTCGTTACTATAGTTCCCACCACCTGTCCAGACTATGGGGCTAGGGGAGTTCTTACTTTAGACAAACTGTATTTAAATAAGGGATGACTGCTTTAATTTTTAAAACTCTCCTCTCCAATGTATTTGAAGACAGATTCACACCAAAGATTATATAATGTGACAATACACAGGGCATACAAAAAGTTTGAAAAGTCTAATATTTCAAAAAATTAATTAAAAACTACTGAATGATACCAAACTAGAACTTTCACCCCAACCTTTGAGGGTTTGGCGGGGCAACTTCGAATTCTTTAATTAATATGAACCCCCAATTTTTTTTGTTGGAGATAGTTGCTCCACCCCTCCCTCAAATGTTTGGGGGTAAAACATCAAGTTTGGTATCATCAGATAGCATTTAAAAAATATTGAATGTGATTAATTTAATTTTTTTTGTACTGAGGCATATTTTTTGAGATATTTCACCATTCGCTAACTCTTTTTACACCATGTGTGTCAGACATATATATTCTTTGTACATACTACGCTCTTAAGCAGTATTTTAAGATATTTTTTTTCATTAAGAAAATTTAAAAATTGGAATTTCTGAAACATAAATTTTTATTTTCTTTCAGGTGAGAAGGGATGTTGATGTTGTTTATGTATAAATTATTGAAGCCAAATGTTATGTAAAATTAATCAAAATAAATTGTATTATGATGAAATGTATACTTGGATTTAAATTTGTTAACAAGCTTTTGGATGATTGGTTATGACAAAAAATTTTATAACTAAAAATTGAACAAATCAATATGATATCAGTCTCTATAGTAAATTACACACCATTTCTCTTCTTCTTTTTTGTCAGCGCAACAGCCCCTTGCAGGCCTTGGCTGTCTCAACAACTGACAATTGCCAGCACCTCATATCCATGGCAACTCCCTTCCAATTTCTAATCTTTAGGATTTTCAGATCATTTTCGATATTGCTGAGCCATCTAGTAGGGAGTCTATCTCTGGAACGTGACCCCTTGAGGTTCTTAAAGGTGACAATTCTCTTGGCGCTATTTTCGCCATCTAGCCAATAACTGCGGATTATTTGTGTAATTTGGGGCTGCTTATAGAGTCGGTAGAGCTCGATGTTACACCAGGTTCGCCAGCATCCCCTTTCTTGAATTGCGCCAAATATGGCTCTGAGGATCTTTCTTTCGAAGGTTATCAATGTCTGCTGTATATCTGAATTTAGGGTCCAAGTTTAGAGTTTTAACTTTGTTTTTTGGCTGAGAAGATTCGCACACCATTTAGAATTCAAAATATTTTGATTTGTTTACAGGTACTATTCACTAAGTTTTATTTTTTTTTTTTAAAAAAAAAGAAATATTTGCAATACTTGAAAGAATAAAATGTATTTATTAATGAACCTTGAATCTTTTTAAAACATTTCAAATATATGTATGGGTTAAAATTAAATGAGTTGGCATAAAAACGATAATTGTTCTACACTAGCAATGAAAGCAAATTTTCAAGTAAAAATGAGTAGTCGAGGAACATTCGAGAGTCCTTTGGAGGGTTTTTCCCAAACTGCAACTGTACCGTTCTCATTAGAGGCAAATAGGTGTTGATTGTCTGATGAAAAAACTAGGCTGTAAAGAAAGAAACAATGAGTAACTTTTTGAACAGTAAAAAACTATAATACATTTTGCACCATTTTTGTAATTAGCATTAAGAGCTTAGTCAGTGTTTTAAATTTTACTATAAGAGATTTACTTTTTCACATACTTAAAAGATAACATCAGTGATAATTTCTAATTTATAGCTCTGTTTGAACAAAAAAATATTGTATTGCTGACATTTAAATATTTAATTATTTTATATTTTCTGTGTCAGATAAATTCAATAAAGAACATTAGGTGGTAGCACGTGCAGTCCACGTCACCAAATGTATACTTTTATAGTTGTCTGATAGCACGTTTTTTCTTCAATTCCTGCTATTAGTTCACACTCTCCCTATATCTCGTTTAAATTTTCAATCGTTTATAAAATACTTTTTATTCATCCACTCTAGCTCGAATACAATTTTTTTCAAAACTTCTAGCAGTTTGTTGGACTGTGAATGCAGACATGTAGGAAATTTTTTTAAAAAAAATATGTCTGTAAATTTAAACGTTTTTTTCTTTTTTGTTACGTGCTTTTTTATTTATTTTTCATGACGTACGTTGATAGTTATTTTCATACATTTTATTCTTTTCTTTTCCCACCTTTATGACTGTTACGGGGTCTGTTTTGGATGTTGATTATAATAGAGTAACTTAAAAAAAAAAAAAAAAANTATTTAAAAAAAAAAAAAAAGGAAAACTTGTCATACAGCAAAATCATCAGTCACAATAGGGAAAAAAAATTTATTTTCTCAGATAATTTAAAGTAAATAATTGACACTACCAAATTAAAAACTGCATTTGCCTTAAAAATATATGAATAGGAAATATAAATCTTGAAAAGGAGCGCCTATTTTTGAGCGCTTGAAACATGTTGACTGTTATTTCCTATTTATATATTTTTGAAGCAAATGAAGTGTTCAGATAGGTAATATTTCACCGTGGACCCATTAGAACAAGAAAGCAGGGAAGGCTACGGTTGCGATGGGCTGACCCACAGTGGAGTCTGATTTTCTGGCAAGTACTTTCTTTCCCTCCAGACGCGGATATGTACCTAGGTTAGTAAAACCCTTACCCGTATAATCCATGTCTGGCCACTACTTCCAGCCAACCTCAATCAATTATTTAAAGTTTCAAAAGAAAGGTTAAAATTTTGTTTACAAATATACAGAAATATTAATTTGCATACAAATATACAGAAATATTAATTTGTTTACAAATATACAGAAATATTAATTATAGTTTAAACAAGATTTTTTTTATATATATATGACATATAGAAAGTGACAATAAATGAATTTTGAAAAGTAAATTAATATAAAAAAATAAAAAAAAGGTTAATGAAAAAAAAAAAATTTTGTTTTTAAAATTTTTTTTCAGTTCTCCATTAAAATTTTGATTTTCAGGTATTAAATAATAAAAGAAAGTAATTAAAATGTTATAATAATAAATAAAAAATTTAATAGAAAAGATATGTACAGTATTTACATATAGGTAAGCATTCCAAAATATATAATAATAATTATTATTTTTTTATTTTATATTAAAAATTTTAGAATATTATCATTATGAGAAAGAAAATTCATTACTAATAATAATTTGGTTTTAAGTGTATTGTTAGTTATGAATTGTTTTTGCCAAGTTGGTAAATTAGTGATATTCGATGCACGAGTAAGCTATGAAGCTGTATAGATGCATTCCGTAAGATAGGGTTCTGGAGTGCCCAGAAGGCCGTATGTGCAGTGATCAGAAAATAATTGGAGATCAAAGAAAAATCGGAAGTCGATGTGGAGAAATTTTCAAAGGAAAGCACTGGCTCACGGGCTGCCTGGCCAATTATGATGATGACGATGAATATTTTACCGTTTCAATTTCTTGGGTTTATTTATTTAAGTAATCGATAGTTTTCTAAATGTCACTTACTTCAAACTAAAGCAATCTTAAATTTAAAAATACTTGCCATTTTATAGGAAAATGAAACTTGTCACAAATGATTTCTCTTACAGGTTTCAAGTCCCAAGAGCTCCAAAGACTAAAAAGAAGAAAATATGTATAATTCATTGCTTTCATTCCAGATTCATTGTTTCTGATAAATATTGCAGAGAAAATTGTGAAAATAGTGAATTTTTTGTAATTTAGAACAACAAACGATACGGCGAAGAAAAAATCTCTTTAAGAGATAGAAAATTAAGCACTTTTTACAAATCACGAATAAAAAAGCATATCTAAGGGCTTTTAAAAAAAGTAATTCAAAAATAAGTACCTTTAAGCTATTTTTAAAAACGCTCCGCATGCTGTATACAAACAATAAAATTAAAATTGAACATCAAAGATGATTCACAAAATAAAGAAATTTTTCTTTCCATCAACGACACGAGAGTTCGGAAAGAGTTTCTTCAGAACCAGTTTTCTGTCAGTTCAATAATCTGCCTGTTAATTCAATAATCTGCCTGTTAATTCAATAATCTGCCTGTTTTAATATTGTTGTATCCAAGTATCAAATGTGCCTAAGTTTACAAATTTTATTACAGCAATCTCCTTACAAGGGCATCTTTCACATTTCGTAAACATTTATAAGCATTTTGAGTAAGAACATTACGAATTCTGTTATAAAAAAACTAGTGCAAAAGGTAGAGAATTATAATAAAATACAAGAAATATAAAAGTTTAATTTGTCAATATGACAGACAAGAATCCCATAAATGTGGAACATTATCCTAGTTTAATGAGTAGTAATTATAAGATTTTGCATAAGATATATTACTATTGTTGTACATTTTATATTATTTCCATTATATATTCTAATTATTACCATTTTATATATATATACATTGTAAAATAAATACTAAAAGGACAAAAAGAAAAAAAAAACGAAGAAAATTAAGAAAAACAATGATTTTTTTTCTTAAATTAAAGTTAATTTTCTAAAATTATTAATTGTTAACTTCTTTAAATTATGCAGTATAATATTACCTTGCGCACATTCATTTTTGGGCCCATCCTCGGTAAGTAACAAATCAAACACATTTCAGTACTGCAGTTCGAACGCACTTTAAAACGAAAGCCCTCTATTTATGCTTTTACCTGAATTTGCGCTTCAGTTTTCATATTTTGTAATCTGGTAATCTTGTTATGAAAATATTTAAAATAATTTTTTCCCGCTCATGTGAGTTCATTTGAATTCGCTACTCGCTTTATAGATTTCGTTTTATTCTTATTCTTTTTTAACATTTTATTTTCTGTTTTTACTTAATGTGTTCTATTCTATCTTATTTCAAAAATTATTATAAATTTTTTTTAGTGCTCCCCACACTATTGTATTGATATATTTTGTTTTGGCTATATTAATACAATATTAGAAAGCACTCCTTTTTGTGGAAATAAATGTGTGAGCTGATGAGAAGATAATATCTTTTTCTTCCATCCCCCCCCCCAATTTTTATTATCCCCCTTTTTTTGGATTTTCATTATTTTTTCTTTTCCCCTTTTTTAATTATTCTTAACATTTTGAACAGGCATTTTTGTTTCTGAGTATATGATAACAGCGATTTCTAAGAATGGTTTATTACTCTGATAATTTTGTTGGTTCATTTGATTATCCTGTATTAAGAAAATCAATTGTAGATCTGCATGCTTTATTGTAGGGCAAACTACTTTTTTTACAAGATATATAATAAAATTGAATATGATATGATATGAAAAATTTAAATGGTACAAGAAATCGATTCAGCTATGCTACACCAAATTCAACATACAAAAAAGAAAAAAAAAACCCTACAAGGTGTTTTTGGTAACAAAATTAAATGAAGATAGAAATAAAAAAGTCAATAAATAAATTAAAACAATCAAAGATCATCTTTAAAATCAATAAAGTGTGTATAGATACCATATATTTCCACATCGCATTCCAGTAGCAATGACATTGACAGAAATCCCTTCTGGTGCTGTGGAATAACACATTGCAGTGACAACATCAGGGATATTTACACAACCTATGCTCTCCCCATTTATTGTACATACTTTCAAATGACCCTGATCATCTAGATATCAGTACAAAAAAAAAATATTTACATTGTTGAGGGAAAAAAATTAATAATATTCTAATAGCTTCTTTATCAATCTAAACTAAGTCATAAAAATGTACTTTATCAAGTCTCGTATAGTTCTAGTGTTAATCCGATAATATACAAGGGTTTTAAAAAGAGAATTTTATTTTTTAAAAATGTTTGCTATATACGCTGTGGCAGAATCGTGGTGACACCGCGACATTGACGCATAACGCTTCTGAGTTCTTACTGAAAGATTTTTTTCCTTGGGAAGTAAAAAAATTAGGTTTCCTTTTCTGCAAAAATTTTTGAAAATTTTTATCTTTTCTTCAGAATTATATTCACAAGAGGCCTTTCTCGTGCATCGGAGTGGAAAAAAATGCCAATAACTTTTTTATTCTCATTTGAGAATAATGAAAAATAAAGAATAATGAAGTAAAAAATTTGGTTTTCTTTTCTGTAGAAATTTCATTCGATTTTTTCATGCCATTATTCCTGTTGAATTCCATATAGTTTTTAAAATCTGATATTTTTAATACGATATTATTTATTATTTTTAATACGATATTATTTATCAATTGAATCTCGAAATGAAAACACACATTTAGTAACCCTTTAGTCCAATTTGCATGATTTTGTTGTCAATCTCTTTTATTGGTAGTTACTGCTACAGATTTCACGATTTTTTTAATGTGATGACGAATTACAAAATGTGAAAAAGAAAATAATTAGTATGTTATCTTCCTACAAAATGTGAAAATATCGCCCAAATAAATAAATAAAACCTTAAATTTTTACATTATACAATGCATCGTTAATCCGAGAGAACGTCTTGTTTTTTTTCTCACATAAATTTGAACATTCCATTGTATTTTTTATTATACTTTCCAACCCTCCACTGGGAAAAATTGTACTGAAATTTCTTTGCTATGCAATACTTTTCTATTGAATAACATTAGGAAATTCGTTTTCTGATGTAGAAAAGTCTACAACTTGAAGTTCAGAGAAAGCTGGTACTAACAGTTTGAGGGATATAATTTTAACCCTTCGACATTTTAGCTGATAATTCATTATAGATTTTCGTAAATGTCATGAACTAACTTGAAAAAAAAAACAAGTATAACCGATTCTGTAATTAAATAAAATTTATCAGGGCTTATACTCAAAGTAAAAAACAGAAATTTTATGACAGCATCGATAATTTTGCAGTACCTAATAATAATTCATATTACCTAATAATAATACAGGATACCAAAAACTAAAACACTTAAAGAATTTGATAGTCTGTTAGAGTCAATAAAGAAATATTTTGAAAAAGCATGAAAGGCAGTTTATAAGCATAGAAAGGTTAAGTTTTTAAAAGTAATATTGCATATATAAAAGTTTTATAACACTAATATACATCAATATGGAATGTCATGTTTCATTTCTCAAAGGTATAAAAAAAAGAAAGAGAAGAAAAGGAAACTTTTCTTGCAAAGGAATAACATGGTGGCAACAAACATTGAGGGGAAAAAAATTCTTAAATTCTTTTCTAAACTTATCTTATAAATTTTTTATTTTATTTTTGTAACAGGTGGCATAAATTTAATTATAAATTTCAAAGTTAAGCCTACTTCCTAATTCTCAAACATAAAATACATTAAAAAACATATATACGGTTAGGGTTGAAAAAATAGCAAATTCAAGGGTGCCTCACATAAATTATTTTACAAAAATTATTTTTTCTGAATTTTTTTCCAGGTTTCTCTATTCTTTCTGATTTTCTCACCCAGTGGCCACCCTGAAGAAAATAGTAACATATATATATACAGTGTAACGTCTCATATCCGGACGTCCCTTTTCCGGAAGGATCGATTTCCCGGACACTTTTTAACATTAAAAATAAACAAACATCTCTTCATCTTCCCCTTTCTTTAAAAAAAAAGGTCTTTTGACGCGTTTTCTCTTCTAGCTTGCACTGAACCCCTGATTTATGCATTGAACCCATAAATCACAAAGGGGAAGAAGAGAAGATCTACCAAGACCATTGAATGACCGTTAGCGACGCTCCTACTCTGTAATGCAGGAAAAGAGGGAGATTTGTTTTCAAAAGACCGCAACTGCGTCCCCTCCCCTCTCTTTTCCTATGCAGTTGGCTAGTAAAAGAGCCATTTTCTGGAACCTTTTTATTGAAAGAAAAGGGTAAAGGCTGCACGCATTAACGTGGAGGGGGAGTCAAATTGGAACATTTGAATAGGTCTAAAAGGATACATGTCCTTGAGAAACATTCATTCTTCCCCTCACCATGTAATATTTAGGAGGCGGGGGAAAAAGGGGGTAACATTCTTTCTTTAGCAGTCATACAAGAAAAAATAAAGAGAACCCCATCAGCGTGCCCCGCCTTTATGCTTGATAGATAGCCAATAATTGGAGAGAAAACAATAATTTGTCACTTCCCCACCCTCAACTTGAATGATCTCCTCTCTACACTTATTTTCTTTCACAAATAAGGAGGAAATGAATTTTTCTCCTCCACCTACCCACCTTAATGAATGACCGGAATTTCCCATTTCTTGCTTGAATCATTCTAGTTGAAAATGGCGGATTATTATTTTCATAACTGTCAATTTTTTTTCGTTATCTATATTTCAAGCAATAATTTTTTTTCCTAATATTTCATATTTGATTGATTGGATAATCTAATACTAGAACATTATTCCCCTTAAAAATAATGTTTATTTATTTTTGCTTCTTAGATTTAGATCATTTTAAGCTTTGTTCCAGAATGAAGTGAATTACCCCTTCCTGCTTGAATCGTTCTAGTTCAAAATGGCGGATTAATATTTTCGTAACTGTCAAATTTTTTCATTTTCTATATTTTTAGCAATAATATTTTTTTTCTAATACATATTTTATGCTTGATTGATTAGATATTCTAATACTAAAACATTATTCCCCTTAAAAATAATGTTTATTTATGTTTTGCTTCTTATATTCAGATTGTTTATTAGATCATTTTAAGCTTTGTTTACCTTGGGGGTCAATTATACGGAAAAATCTATTATACGGACTTCTGGAAGTCCCACCGATTCCGGATACGCGACTTTACACTGTATATATAACTTGTATCAAGCAACAGAAGCGATTCTTGTTTACAAAATAAAAAATTTTAAAAAAAAACCCTTCATGTACAGAATAGAACAGTATATAAATTTTTAATTATAAATGTAAGAATTTATTTTAAATATTCTGATATTATTAGCAATATTCTCCTGTTCTAAAAAATGTTTTGTGCAGTTAATTTTTTAAAATTTTATCTATTTAGAAATTACATTTTATAACATCAATCAGTCATTGTGGAACTTTTTTTATTCTCAAAACAAAGTAAAAAAATAAAGAGAAAAAGAAATCATGAGCGTTTCTTCCACCTCTGAAATACGGGAGAGAAATAATTCTGCAGAAAAAAAAAAGCTCAGCAGAAAGAAAATTCTGCAGATAAAAAAATTCAAACTTTTTTGCCTTCCTAATAAAAAGTCTTTCTGCAAGAACTCTGTAATGTTCAGCAACAATGTCGCCGTGTCGTCACGATTCTGCCATGGGGTTACAACCATTAAGAGCATTATTACGAGAAAAAGATTTGGGAAGCACATTTTTAAACTTGATATAGTATGAAACATACAAAATGAGTGAACTTACCTTCATTGCTTATGGAAGCAACATCTCCAAGGGTATCACTGACGCACACCAGATCGATTGATTCTTCGTGTTTTGTCAGAGTACGAACATAGCAAAGCCTAGTACAAAGAATTAAGTATGGATAAGCAGAAACAATTCAGAACTATCAATTGGTTACAAGGTGAGCAAAACTTATGAAGGAATTTGAGTAATAATATATATATATATATAAATTTAAATTCAATTCCTACTTAAGTAGGCAAAGAAAAATTTTATTTTAGTTACTAACTTCAGTTATTAAATAATTAAACATTTTTCTTTCATATAAAACTAGAATTAATTAATTGAATTAATATTTGAAAAAAACTGTATTAACATCAAGTGTCACACAGAAGTGATTACAGAAGTTAATCAATGTTACATTAATTAAAATGTTATTACAATTAAAGAAATGAAGTGATACATATAAATGTAGATAAAAATATTACTTGTTCAAGTCCCAAACTATGACGGATTTGTCTTTACTGCCAGATACAAAAACACTAAATGGCTTGCATATACAGATGGAAGTAATTGTATCGGTATGACCTTTTAACTGAAGAGGTAAGGTTCGCTGTAACCTATCAAGCTGTAAAAGTATTTTTTTTGGAGGTTATTTCAGACATTTGCATTATAAGTATGTAAATTTCTAGTCTTAAGTTTTTTACATTTTGGTGACCAACAATATATATATTTATATATATGGCGACAAAATAATGGAGACAATTCTATACTAATACATTTCTTTCCATATTTCACAAGCAATACTTCAAGAATCATTTTATAACTTCAGAAGTGTTTAGATCATGCACTTTCTCATACTTATCAATGAAGTTTAAGCTTTTAAAGGCTTAAGGGACCACCAATACATCACAAATGGAAAATAGTGTTTTGAAGTCCCTATGCCCAAAAATGTAGCAATAAATTTATAACTTCTAGTGATTATTTTAATAATTATATGCAATAATTGCACAAAATTTCATAATCCTAACTTATATATTTATGAAGATATGGACATATTCATAAAAAAACTACTTTTTTTGTATAATTTTTTTTGCTGCCACTTTAAAAATACTCAATAAAATTAAACAAAATTTTTAGAGCAATTTAAATTGGTAACAAATTTATTGCTATAAAATTTCTGAAGATATGACTAATTAAAATAGTTTTTTTATACAGTGTATGAGCAGGAAAAAAATGAATTTTTTAAAATTTTTTTTGAAGAAAATCGTATATGGCAACTAATAATAATTAGAGAAAAACTGATTTGAAAATCTTAAAAATTAAAAAGTTTCAAGCAATTTTCTAAGTAGCTTTTGCACTTTTTTAAAAAGAAACTCAAAATAATAAGGGGTTCTTAACAAAAAATATACAAAGAAAATAAAAATACGAAATAAATAAAATAAACACAAAAATAGAATATGAATAAATTGAAATGAAAAAATTGAAAATGAAAAATACAAAATAAAATAAAAATTCCAGAAATTACAAAATAAAACAAAAATAAAAACATAAATTTAAGAGCAGAAACAGATGTCTATATTCTTAGCTATTAACCAGCAAAAATTAAAACTGCTTGTGAAAACTCATGTAGTACCTTCGATAACAATTTGAAGTCAATGGAGGTAACCAATACTATTTTTCAAAAACTTTAATCCATACACAGTGAAAACGTTGAATGCAGAAAACAAAAGTTAGTCAAGAACTAATGTTTTATTTAAAATAGTTCAAAGCTACAATTTGTAATAACATGTTTAAGCTAAACTGGATCTCTAGGTGTAACAAAAAACAAACACTTACATTATTTGAGTCCAGAGATAGTGTGTACACAAATATTGTTCCAGATAAGTGCGCAACAAAAAGTTCACGGCAATCAGGTACAGATGCACAGAGACACACCTGTAAAACACATTTAATTGTATTTCGTGAATTTATAACTAATTTATTGTTAAATTCTTCATACTTAAAAACTGTCAAAACAGGGTTTCTGTCCAAGTTATTTACTGCCTTTTATTTCAATACCATTAAAAGTAGAGTTACTCAGGTGTGTAGGCAAATCTTTCAACAACAAAAAAAAGCATCTTTTAAGTACTTTTGGAGCACTCAAAAATATTTTTAAACACTATATACATTAACAAAATGCAAAATAATTTTCAAAGACTTTTACATGATCATGATAAATTAACTAGTTTCTGACAAAGAACTCTTTTGTTGATTATATTAGCCACCATAAAAAGATCGAGAGATTTTTGGTTCGATTTCAGAGGATGGAAAATGAAGCCTGAAATTGAGAATATCTTGCAAAATGTAGCAGAGTTGCACATGAAAGTGCTAGAAACTCACCGAACTCAGCTCAGTCGACACACACATGTACTGGCAAGTATTTCATCAAACATGTAAAATGATTGGNGAGAGATTTTTGGTTCGATTTCAGAGGATGGAAAATGAAGCCTGAAATTGAGAATATCTTGCAAAATGCAGCAGAGTTGCACATGAGAGTGCTAGAAACTCACCGAACTCAGCTCAGTAGACGCACACATGTACTGGCAAGTATTCCATCATACATGTAAAAGGATTGGCTCTTTCATACACTATGGACCGATGGTAGGCCGAAATGGATTGTGGTTGAATGAATTGTAAAAATGTTGAATTGAACAATGCGAAAAGCTCGCTTTTGCATAAATACATGGTGAAAATCGACATGGTAAAGAAGAAAATCTCATTTTTGAAAAGGGAAAATTAAGCCCTTTTTAAAAACACCTATTTAAAAAAGCACCTTTAAGAGATTTTAAAAATCGAATCGAAACTTTTAAGCACTTTCTAAAAAAGCTGCGCATTTGTTATATCGAATGCCTACATACTTTGGGGACAGAATAAGATTTTTTTTAAAAATTTTAATGTTATACATGAATCAACTATAAATGTATTTATATGTTATGCAGAAAATTATTTTGCAGAGTGTTAATTACGGTTAAAAATAATTGAAATAAATTCAGAAAATAACATCGAGAACATATCTGAAAGTTTTTATCTAAAATAATCTGATATTTTTGTTTGTTGATTAATTTTTTTGACTGTCAAGTCGACCAACAAAGTATGCATCGAGTCCAAATCTCAAAAATGATGTTGGTTTGTGAATGGTGCTCAACCCACCCTCTACAGAAAAAATTCTCCTTCAGATGATGCTTGTGGGCATTTGTGACTCTTAATCAATTTTTATCATGAAGAAATTAAATCAGATAGGAATGCTACAATTGTGACTTCTTAAGAGATAAGGGAGGAAATTCTAAGAAAATGGAAGCTCTTGGGGTTGTCAGCAGTGAGTCTTCTCTTGTTAGAAAAGATGATAAAAGTGGCAAAATATGATAAAATAAGATTTTTTACATTATTTGAAAACCAATAATAAATGGAGGAAATAAGGCAGAAATTTGGGAAAAAAAATCGTTTTACAGGGTTTTATTGCTTTACAGAATATCGTAATATTGAGAGGAGCATGACATTAATTCATATGCAAGTTTGACGGGACAATAAACGATATTAACGTAAAAAAGGGAGTTATTGCTGTATTGGATATCATATTAGTGAGAGTTCAATGTATATAATATTAATTCTTATTTTTTAAATATTATATTGTGGAAAACTAAATACATTTAAAGTTTTTCAGAAACTTCAAAATGAGATTGACAATTGAGGTTGCTTTTTGAAGGTTTCTTCTCCAAAAAGCTTTTTAGCAAAGAATGTGATTATTTTATAACTATTGCGAATATGTAACAGTCATTTAATACTCTAAGCCAGGGATGAGCAACACGTGGCCCGCGGGGTGTTTGCGGCCCGCCAAGCATTTCTAAAATTGATTTGATTTTATCGACAAATACGGCAGTAAAGGCTAGTTTTGTTGTCAGACAAATACTGGCAAAAAAAATGAAACCCTTTGCGGATGGAGAGATGATAAAAGAATGTCTGTCTGCTGTTGCAGAAATAGCATTTCCTGATGAAATAAATATTATTTCAAACATTAGTTTATCAAGATTCACCATTGCAAGGAGAATTGAAGACTTGTCCGAGAACATAGCAACAATGCTTCGTGAACGCATTGCAAAATTCGAATACTGCTCTTTGGTAATTGATGAGAGTTGCGATATTAGCAATACAGCACAACTGGCTATTTTTTTACGTGGTATTGACTCCAAATTTAATATTACCGAAGAATTGTGTTCACTGATTCCAATGCAATGGACTACAACCGGCTAAGACCTGTACGATGAACGAAAGTCTGTGTTGGAAAATTTTTCAATTTCATTAGAAAAGATTATTGGTATATCGACCGACAGAGCACGAGCAATGTCAAGCATGAAGGTAGGAGTATCAGGAAGGTTATTTCAAGACATTAAGAAGGTCACAGGAAGGAAAATATTCGTTAACCACTGTATAATTCACCAGGAAAGTTTGTGTGCGAAAAGATTGAGTTTGCCAAAGGTCACAGTACCAATAATTTAACTAATTAATTTTATAAAGTCGCGCGCAAGAATTTAAAGAATTCCTGAAACATTTAGAAATTGAATATGGCGACGTGGTTTTTAATACCGAAGAACGTTGGCTTAGTAGAGGTGCAATGCTAAAAAGAGTATACAACTTAAAAAGCGAAATATAATTGTTCGTGGATATGAAGGGATATGCCTTTCTTTATTTTGTTAATAAAGAATGGATGAGAGATTCGATTATCGACATGACTCAGCATCTCAATGATCTTAATGGGGAACTTCAAGGCAAAAGACAGTTTATTCACAATTTGTATGATAAAATTCAGGGCTTTGAGCGCAAATTAAAATTTTGGAAACAGCATCTTTTGCAGAATAATGTGTCTCACTTTCCACATTTAGAAAAAGAAAATGTTACCACTTCTAAAAAATACGCACAATATATAGACATTTTAATCAACGAATTTCAATTACGATTCCAAATGTTCAAAGCTGAGAAGACAGCGGTTTCCATGAAAATGTTTTCCTCGCCATTTAATATCGATGTGGATATAGTTCCTGAAGACTTTCAAATGGAAGTGATTGATAAGCAGAATAATACCGATTTAAAAAATGTATTTTTCTCAGTAAACATCGAAATTTTTATAAATCGTGATTCCAGAGAAATTTCCGCTTGTGCCGAAAAATTTAAAGCAAATGAAGTCTCTGTTCAGAAATACGCATGTTTACAAACAATTATTTTCAACCATGAAATTAATCAAGAATGATCACCGATCAAGACTGAGTGATCAAACTGAGTTGCGTACGTGTAGCTACTTCATCAATTCCGGCTGATATTGATCAGCTTGTATCGAAAAAACAGTGCCAAATTTCTCATTAAAAGTTTCAAGTAAATTCGTTTTATTGTTCTTTTCTTGTTTGTTTTTTATTTTGCATTAAAATTTGTTTATGAAATCTTTACTTTTTTTTAAATTTATATTTTAATTCTAATGTTTATTATAAATAAAGTTTTGTAAATTATTAATAAGTGTTACTTTATGTGCGGCCTGCGAAAAAATTTTAAAATTTCAATTGCCCAAAATTTCAATTGTTGATTAAAAAGGTTGCTCACCCCTGCTCTAAGCATTAAGCCTTCTGACTAAAATCTCTTTTAAGAATATTTAAATTATTTAAAATGATTTTCAGTCACTCACATTTTTCAGTAAAACAGCATATATAGTATGGAATAAAAAAATTACTTCAAGTTTAAAAAGAAACTCACGCTGTGAATTTTCTTTTGCGAAAGGCCTTAAAATACAACCCTAAATAGTTTATTTAGGGTTGTTTTATGACTACTTTTTATAGACTACTTTTAAGTGTAACCTGTGTTACTTTTGTGTAAACACAAGTGTATAACATTACTTACAGGATCGAGGCTGTTTTCCTTCAGTAATGGTATAGCAGGCTGGTCTCTGCATAATTTTATTCTAATCACATTATCTTTGTGACCCCAGCTCACTAATGCAGCAGACATGATGTAAGTGGCACTTGATACATTGGATCCTTAAGAATAAATTTTGTAATAATATAAATTATGTTAAAATAATAAATTTCATCAAACTTATTTATAGTTTTAACTATGATTGAAAGGAAATAGAAATATTTTATTTTTTATTTAAAAAAACTTAAGGATATCTTTTATTCATATAAAGCATTTCTAATTATTGATATATTACAGATTGTCTTGTTTTTACTAAAATTCTAATAATGAAACACATGTATGCCTTACTACTTATTTTATTTTTTGGAGAAAAAAAACTGATTTTTCTTTCAAAAAGGCACAAATAGGTTATTTAAAGTAAGAATAGCAAATAAAAGAAAGTACCTGGATTTTTTCTGTGATTCAAAATAAGGCAGATATTTTCACCTAAACCAAATATGTAATTGGCAAGAAGAGGCAAGAGGTTGCATAATACTACTTTCTGTTTTCTACACCACACAAGACTTGGGGCTGCAGTAGATGGTGAACCCACATAGTTGCCCCAATGCAAACCATTCACTGTGTCAACAACCTCCTGAAATACATTCATAAGCATGCAAACTTACAACAGAAATATTTCATACAAATTTTTCTTCAAAAGAAAAAAAAAAATCTCGACACAGCAAAAGTTTCCTTTTTCCTTAGGTAACTTGCTCTAGGTTTCAAATCTATGCAATTAGAAATATGAACATTTGGTAGCTGCTCAGGGGCTTTTCAATTATTATATAATTTAAATTCTACATTACATATTTTTAAAATCAAATATTACATAATTTACACAAATATTGCATATTTTTTGTGACAAAGGGGTAGAAGTTTTTTTTCTCCCCACTGATTTACTTGTTCTAGGTTTCAACTCTATGCAATTACAAATATGAACGTTTGGTAGCTGCTCAGGGGCTATTCAATTATTACTTAATTTAAATTCAATATTACATATTTTTAAAATTAAATAATATGTAATTAAATATTACATAGTTAAAATTAAGTATTACATGATTAAAATTAAATATAATACATAATTTACATAATATTAATATTATGTTAATAATTACATAAAAAATACATAATTCTGTTTTAAACAAAGTTGCATCGTTTACTTAAACTTAATCCTTAAGTCAGATTATAGTAGAAATACCTTTTTCTACCATAGCCGGTCAATTGACCGGACTTTATGTTTCTTGATTGAATATATGAAATATGGATGTTAGGAAGGAAATAAACAACAAAAACTTAATTATAATTAAACAAAATTGTATATTGCCAATTTTTATGTATTAGAAACAGAAAGAATTTTCAATTAATCGCTCAATGCATTTTTTTACATATACAGGGTGTTTCCGTTGTACATTTTCAGCAAACATATTTCTTCTATAATTATTAGTATTTCTATAACTCTTATAATTATGAGAATAATTAGGTTTGAATAATTAGGTAAGAAGAATAATCAGGCAATAAGTTGTTCTCCCTGTCAAGTGACCAGTTGCGGTAGAAATAGGTATACAAGTATTATTCGAAACAAACAAAATACAAAAAAAAAAAATAATAACAAAATATTAATTGTACATAATTATTAGAAAAAGTCATAACGATAAGATGATAAGAGCATAAGAGATGCAAAAGTTCTTTAATGGTCATATGGTATGTTTAGTGTTAGTTAACTTAAAACCAACTTATAGCAATAATGCTTATTTTTTTACCAAAATTCACATTCTAGTAATCGAAAAAAAGTAAACAAATATTTGAAAAAAGTTCACCATTGGCTCAGCAATTTCATTTGACACACTGAAAGCTGAAAACGGTATAGAGACCATAGGATGAGGACTGGTGAACAGCTGTTTAGGCATTTGGCCTAATGTTTTTATCATCACTTGAACAGCCTGCTTCGTAATTGGATCCTTCCATTGGTTGATGTCAAGGCCATAATATGTCTGTCAGGAAAAGGAACATTAATATCTGTTACAAAATTGTTAATAAAATAAAATTTCATATGAATACATACCTGCCAACACTGGAGAAATAAAATAACGGAGATTTTACTAGCGACATTTTTCAGGCTACGAGTNTGTTTTTATCATCACTTGAACAGCCTGCTTCGTAATTGGATCTTTCCATTGGTTGATGTCAAGGCCATAATATGTCTGTCAGGAAAAGGAACATTAATATCTGTTACAAAATTGTTAATAAAATAACAGAGATTTTACTAGCGACTTTTTTTTAGGCTACGAGTAATGTTTTGATACATCATGTAAGTCAAAAAGAGAAACACAAAATTGGAAATAATATAAGCACCTACATTTAGTGAAGCAAAAAATATGTATAGAAATCTTAATCTAAAAAAGATTTTTTTAAACTATTATTTATAATTATATGCTCAACGTACTGCAGTATTGGCAGTAGCACCATCTGTTGAGGAATAAGAGAAGTATTTTTGCCATCAACGGATATTTTATCGCCATTTTTCTTTTAAAAAAAATTCTTCAACAAATAAGGAGAAATATCATAATATGTAGGTAAACAGGAGATAGTCGTAAAATACAAGAGTCTTCGTTAAAAAACTTGGAGGACTTGGCAGGTACGTAAATATGCAATAACGTGATGAAATTTCAACCAGTTTGTGCTCATAATCCATTTTTACGGACATTTCTAAAATTAATCAAAGACACACACACAAAAAAAAATTCACGGATTAGTTTAGTTTATTCTATTGGGTTGTTCAGAAAGTAATTTCGTTTTTTCGACAGAGGATTTAAATGCATTTTTTTGAACCCAACTTCACACTTAAGCCGCATTATCATTATATGTTTTGAGAGCTGATTTAGCAAGGTTTGTGTGTGAAAAAGTTCAATTAATTCTATGCAGTAGCTTTTGGTTGGTGTCCTTTTAACACATTCACTGCCACTAAAAATGATATTTCCATCCTCTGAAGCCGGATGACAAAACAGGGTTTTAATGGTATAAATGTTCCTTATTTTACTAGGAAAACCAGAAAAACGAAGAAGCATTTTATTTTCCTGTTTAGAGAGCGTATTTTTTCTGACGCTCTGGAGCGTCAGTGGCACACAGACTCAACTTGTCATTGTGAGTACCACTAACGCTCCAGCGCCTCTGATCAATATTCTCAGAAATTACTGTCATATTGCATAAAATAGCAGCTTAAAAGAAATAAAACAGAATACCATTCAAGTATATGTAGTTCAAGTATATGTATATCAAGTTATGAAACAATACTGAAAATATTTACAAATAATAAGCACAATATACAGATATTGGCAGTCACGCACATAAAAAAATTCAAACAAAAATTTTGAAAACCAACCACAAAAAATAAAAAAATAATGCTTCACTAATGTGCCGAAACAACCTCTCCGTTCAACTCCCAAAGTAACACTAAACACAGAGCATATAACTTATCATAGTCGATCGCCGCACTAGCGCCTCGTCGGCATACCAGGAGGTGCCGCTCTGACACGCTAGTGCGTCGGTGGCAGCGAACGGGATAAATATGGAAAGCAATAAGCAGCATATTTGTCATATTTTACTTTTTTACTATAGAAAAGGTAAAAATGCTGTTCATAACAGAAAGAAATTAACCGACGTGTATGGAGGAGATGTGTTGACAGCACGCCAGTGCCAGAACTGGTTTGCAAAATTTCGATCAGGCAATTTTGACGTCGAAGATGCACCACGTTTTGGAAGGCTGGTTGAAGCTGATAAAGGCATTAGTTGATGCAAATCGGCGAATAACAGCACGTGAGATTGGTGAGAGGTTAAATTTATCGAATTCAACAGTTTGTGGCCACTTGAAAGGCCTGAATTTAATCTCGAAGCTCGATATATGGGTTCCCCATGTTCTCACAGAGAGAAATTTGTGTCGTTGAGTTGATGCCTGTAAATCGCTTATCGAAAGTCACACGAAGATGATCTATTTTTTAAATGCATCATTACTGGGATGAAAAATGGGTTGGCTATAACAATGTCAAATGCAAGAGATCATGGAGCAAAAAAGATGAACCGGCTCAAAGCATTTTGAAAGTATACAATAAAAAAAAGGTGATGCTGTCTGTTTGGTGGGATTTTAAAGGAATAAGTTTTTTTTGGGAGCTTCTACCGGGTAACACAACAATTAATTCAGAAGTCTACTGTCGCCAGCTGGACAAACTGAATGATGCACTTCAACAGAAAAGGCCAGAATTAATCAACAGAAAAGGTATAATGTTCCAACAAGATAATGTGAGACCTCATACAAGTTTGTTCACTCGCCAAAAGCTTTTACAGATTTAATGGGATACACTACCACACCCACCATATTCTCCAGATCTGGCGCTTTTGGATTATTATTTTTTCCGGTCACTGCGAAAGTTTTCGGACTGCAAAATCTTTACTTCAAATGAAGAGGTCAAAAATCACCTGGATCAGTTTCTTGCCAGCGAAAATCAAAAATTTTATGAGCGTAGAATCACGCTACTTCACCAGAAAAATGGCAAAAGGAGTTGGAATAGAATGGCCAATATATAATTTAATAAAATATTTATTCACTATACGAAAATTGTCTTTCATTCCCCCCCCCCTCCCAAAAAAAAAACGAGATTACTTTCCGAACAACCCAATACTTTAATCATGCAAAAAACATATAAATCTGAGAAGAAGATAAGCTCCCGTAGGACTGAGTACCACTAACAAGAAGAATTGTCGGAAAAGCAGCCTCAGGTATCACTACTAAATTTGTTATATTTTTGTCACTGGTGACCTTAGGAAATTGTAAGGGATTTGAAGATTAATACAGAAAATTATTTAGAAAAATCCAAGAACTTGTGACTTAAAGCAAATAAAGAAAGTAGAAAAAATTAGGATATTGGGTAAAGGACACATACATAATTAGTTTATTTTTCGAATTTTACGTTTAAAACACAAAACGTTTAATGATTTTTAAAGAAAAATTGTAGGAAATTGCACTTAAAATTATTTAATAATTTTTTAAAAAAATCTCAAAAATCAATTTTATTTTTATAAACTTCAGACGTACCTAAAGAATATAGGCACCTGAGCCTCAGTAGCCCCTCCTTTTACAACAAAATTAGAAGGTTCAAGAGAAAAATCTAGTAATGTTAAATTGCATAAACACAAATTTTGCTATTAATTGTGCAACAGTCTTTCAATTCACTGAAAAATTTTTGAGATTAAGCAAAATTTGCAAGTAGTCAAATTAATATTAAGGGATCAAAACTTTGAACCACTCTCCTGACCAAACTATTGAAATTATATTTCCCAGATTGCTGCTACCCTGTTTTTTGAGGGTAGAAAATCCAAATCCATCGAGAAAAAAAGGGTATGTTTATTCTGATTTCCATAGCAGTCATTTTGATCGCAAATGTTCATTCCAGGTAAATTGTCAGTTTATGTGCTCTTTATACATTGAAATATTCATTGGTATACTATATTAAAATATTTAATGCTTTTAAAGATCGCTAAAAGTTACGAAAGTCAAGTAAGCTGGAAAGTCAAGTAAGATTAAGCTTCCTTGAGGATTTAGCACATCTTGAAGTTGGTTTGCAGTCCAAATGAATACTTTAATTGTCCTAGTGTTAAATATTGTCTGCATTAATGAATTAATTAGCATATTTGAGGTCACCCCCTTGAACCATTAAGAGAGTTTCAGTACGTGAAAATCTAATCATTAAAACAAAAGTTATTCAGGGTGTCCCGTTATTTTTTTTATGCATGGTACATTGTTTGATATCAAAATTTCCTTACAAAAAATCTGTCACATAAAATAATAATCTTTCTTTTTACATATTTTTTCATATAGTGGCTATTCGCTTATTCAATTCACTTAAAATGTGAATTCAGGCAGTTACTTGTTAGTTCCACAGGGTGCACAGCCAAATCTTCAAACAAAAAATAAGCACATTTTAAACACTCAAAAATATTTTTAAGCACTATATACATTAACAAAATACAAAATAATTTTCAAAGACTTAACATGATAAAATTACTAGTTTCTGAGAAAGAACTCTTTTATTGATTACATTAGCCATTAAAAAATGATCAAGAGATTTTTCGGTTCAATATCAGAGGGTGGAAAATGAAGCTTGAAATTGAGAATATTTAGCAAAATGCAGCAGAGTGCCACATGAGAGTGCAAGAATCTCACCGAACCCAGCTCAATAGAAGCACAAGCGGACTGGCAAGTATTTCATCAAACATGTAAAATGATTGGCACTTTTATATGCTACGGAATGCCGAAATGCATTGTGTTTGAATGATTTGTGAAAACGTTGAATAGAACAATGCGAAAACCTTGTTTTTGCGTAATACGTGGTGAAAATCGACGTGATAAAAGAAAACAAAAATCTTATTTTCGAAAAGGGAAAATAAAGCAGTTTTTAAAAACACCCAATAAAAAAGCACCTTCAAGGGCTTTTAAAAAACGAAAACAAGCACTTTTTAAAAAAGCTACAAAATATATAAGGTCACTTATGGGATAGAAATAGCAATCATTAAAACACTACTTACAGCTGGATGAAATACATTAATAGCACTGAATGCAGCTTCACCGGTCTGTTTACAGCCAAATACCAGATCAATCCAGTTGTGAATGCTCCTCGTTACATTTTCAGATTCCAAAACCTGTCTGTGTATAAGGACAAAAAGACGTGGATTCTGTTTGCACCACGGAGGAAGGAGCACATCATTTACACGAATACCAGACTGGCGAACACCAAAGTCAAAATCTACGTAATCAGAAATATGTTTTACCTTGAAATATGCATAATTGAAAGTATTAAAATAATGCCAGCAAGATATTAAAAAACACACATTAAAATGAAATTGCAAATTATATAAAAATACTGCAATTTATTTCTAAATTATTACCAGTTTTTACCAGTAATTATTTGCAACTTCAGGGTGCGTAGCCAAATTTTTCAACAAAAAATAAGCACTTTTTGAGCACTTAAAAATTATTTTCAATCACTTTCCAAAAAAATAAATTCATAATTAGGACCTGTGCAGTAACAATTTTTTTCTTCTTCTCTATAGTTTAAAGTTCTTAATTTAAAAGCATAAAATCATTAAAATTTAGAAATATTTTCAGAAACTTTACTTAATCGTGATAAAATAACTAGTTTCTGATAAATATGGTAGAGAAAATTGAGAAAATCATGCATTTTTTGTAAGTTAGAAAGACAATGGACACAGCAAAGAAAAAATCTCTTTTTAAAACATAGAAAATTAAGCTCTTTTTACAAATTCCAAATTAAAAAAGCACCTTTATAGATCTTTAAAAAACGTAAATCAAAAATAAGCACCTTCAAGCACTTTCTAAAAATGCTTCACACCCTGTTATTCGCAACTTACAGGTAAAAAAAAAAGGCTTTGAAAATTAGAGAATACAGCGTGTATGATGGATTATTTTGATACATAGTGAGAATTATGTTACAATAGTGCCACATTAAATAATTTAACCCAAACACAACTGAATTGTTTGTATGTGACTGTGCCTCAATCACAAAAATGCACTAGTCAGGTATTCAATGTAAATTCAAATATTAGGGAGAGAAAAAATATGTTTTTAAGAGCTAATTTCTCTTAGATTGAAAAAATAATAATTGTACAGAAAGTAACAAACAGAATATCTTACCATTTTTATTACATAAGAATTCTGGTAAAAAGAAAAATTCAGGTATGAGTTCTTTAACATCACTGGTAGAATCTTTAGTCACTAACTGCCATGAAGTTTCGATGGAGTGAAAAGTACGATCAGGTATGTCGAAATTATTATCTGAAATAATTCATAGAACATAACTTAAAATGACAGTTCAAACAACGTTTTTGTTTGTACACACAATGTCTCTGTCACTTTAAATTAGTAATTGTTATAATTAAAAGTATCTTAAAAGAGAGATATTAATGCTAGGGAAGTTTGTTGCAGAAAGCTCGAAAAAATTCTGCCAAAAGGATTAGTGATAAATCTTTCCATTTTTTTTCAAAAATTAGTCAAAATTCTAAAGAACAGTTTGATAGAATTCAACATAAAAATCAACATTTTAATAGTTACCCTGGTACTTGATAAAGCTGTAAGTAAATGGTAATATCCTTATTAGGAAATGAAGCACAGTTCCACTGTTACTGTAGTGGGAGCCATAATGATATGGACCTGATATGGGTAGTTCAAACTCAGTTGAAGATGAACAACTTGCTTGTTCTTTCAGCAGCTGAAATAAAAACATACTTGTAGTTACCACTACACAAATACAATTCCAATTCACTAGTATATAAGACATGTTAACTCGTTTAGATGATGAATCAACTCCATTCATCGAATTATATCACAGATATAATTCTGGTGGGAGGTACTGTAGTGTGTCTACCTACCACTACAAAAAGACATGTTAAATCGATCTTATGTTGAGGTACCTTTTCATAGATGAGAGTTGACATTGTTGATAATTACTCTCTCCACATACTTATTAAAAATAGACACTTTGCACATTTCAAATTAATATTTACCCAGTGTGCATAGCCAAATCTTTCAACTAAAAATAAGCACTTTTTAAGCACTCAAATAATATTTATTTGCTTTTCAACACCAAAACTAATTTATGTACATAAAATCAGATGTTTATGAGTCAATTAGACCTTTAACTGGATTCACTTTGCTTAATTGTTGCAACATAATACATGTAATTTTTTAAGGTTAGCTTTTTTCCCACCTACTATATAGCAGGGATGAGAGTAGTTAGAAAGTGAAAAAGAGGAAATCCAAGAATAAATATATGATCCCAATGTCTAATTTCTAAAACAAGTATAAATAGAAAAATCGATGTTTGATATTACAACTACATAAACAAATTATGAGATTGAGTTTTAAACACTCGAGAATACAAATCGCTACATAGGGTTTCAGAAACGCGTAAATATCAATCGCAATATCAGATTTTTAAATCTCAAAAATAAGAATCGCAATGTACAATATATAAATCGCACTAATGAGAATCGCAATGTTTGACATTAAAATCGCGTGAATAAGAACTGAGATATTAGCAGATTCTGGACTTGGGATTAAAGGCTTGTTTGTATTGTTTTTGTTTAGCCATAATAATTAGAAATTTACAAGATAAATTAATCAATGACCAAATAAATATTTTCACCCCAAATCCACCACTATTTTTTTTTTTTTAATATTTCTTTTGGTTTTGAAGCAGCAAACAGGAAGCAGTGACGTTTGAATTATGAAAATATGAGCTATCTGGCGGGTGGTAATAAATACGGAAAATCTTATTTTCCGCGTGTAAAGGTGGAGAAAATAGGTAAAATAAGAAAAAATGTGGAAGAATTGGCAGCTACATAGTTTGAATTTTTCTGCTTATCTTTCGAAATCAGAATTAAATATAATCTGATTTCAATGACTGAATTTTCAGAAAAGCTGAATATTTATGAAAAAAATGAAACTTTTAGAGAATCAGAGTTTTTGATAAAGAGGCTGAAATTTGAGAGATAAAAGCGAAAAAGTATCATCCCTGATATAGTAATTTATTATGCCCTTCATTTTCTAACAAATATCTGACTTAGATATTTTTATGCTTAAATACCAATCAGACTATTTTGTCTGATTGGAAGTGGCTACCAATCAAACTATTTTGAGCAATATAAAAGAAACATTAATATTGCCCAAAATAGTGAACATGTTTAAACAATAATATTATAAAACAATCTTAATTATGAAATTGTAAATTAAAATAAAATTTTAAAATGATTAAAACATTACTTCGTATGTATCCATGTAAAATTTTTCTCTATACTTATGCTGAACGGCAACAGGCTTCTCTAGATTTCTAAAAATGAAAGATATTTGATCAGGAAATCTAAAAAAGGTAACTGAAAGCGTGCTGTAAAGGTAAATAAACTGAATAATATTAGCAAAATATTTGCACCAACTCACATACGATGAAATCTGAAAAAAGTTTAGACAATACAAACATTTATTTTATTAATTGATTTTAGATTATTATTTAATAGAAAGTACAAAGAGGTGTTAATAAGCTTGACTAGAAATCAAAGGTTGACATACTTAAAGACGGAACATACTAATGAGCTAAATGGATATAAAGCCAAATATAACGTTTTTGTTATCAAATCTTTAACATGCAATATATATTTTTTTAATATTTTGCCATATTCTTGCTCGTAATTTTTTTATTATTTTTTATTAATTAATATCTTCTTTTAGACCAAACTACTCCTTAAAAGGGGGTAATATGATGCTGCCCTAAAATGCATGAGTTTTTTTAATATCTTACAGATTTTTTACGGGTAATAGAGGGAGGGAGAAATAAGTTTATTATTATTTTTAACAATCAGAAAAACTCCTGATTTGTTTTCAATTGATTTATGCTTTTTAACTCTTGAAATCTGATAAAAAAGGGAAAAATAAAAAGAAATTTACACCACTGAAAACACAGATTTTTCTTAATTGTATATTTATTACTTTTAGATATTTAATAAATTTTAAAGGGAAAAAGAGTCTTTTAAATTTAGCAATACAAAAATAAAATACTTCCTCAGGGTGCATAGTCAAATCTATCAGCAAAAAATAAGCACCTTTAAAGCACCATGTGCATTAACAAAATTCAAAGTTATTTTCAGACTTTACATGATCATGATAAAATGACTATTTTTCAACAAAGAACACTTTTCTTGATTATATAAGCCACCATAAAAAGATTAAGATATTTTTTAGTTCGATTTCAGAAGATAGAAAAGGAAGACTGAAATGGAGAATATCTTGCAAAATGCAGAGCTCCACATGAGATCAAGAATCCCACCGAACCCAGCTCAGTAGACACACATGCGGCCTCGCAAGTATTACATCAAACATGTAAAATCATTGGCGCTTTCATACGCTATGGATCGACGGTAAGCCGAAATAGATTGTGGTTGAATGAATTGTGAAAACGTTGAGTAGAACAATGCGAAATACATACATTTTGCATAATATGTGACGAGAATCGACATTCAATAAAAATCTAAGTTTCAAAAAGGGAAAATTAAGTACTTTTTAAAAACACTCAATGAAAAAAGCACCTTTCAGGGTTTTTTTTTATGAAAAAAACAAGCACCTATAAGCATTTTTTAAAAACGCTATGCACCATGTTCTTTATCTTTTAAACCCTAACATCTACTACAGGGGTTGTAAATAATTTCATAACCTTTTTTAATATTATTATTGAATTAAAACATTAAAGAAGAGATTTATGATTGATTGAAGGATTCATCATAAAATTACCTATACACTGAAGGATTGCACAAGTCCAGATATGAGCTGCCATAGTCAGATAACACAAAAGGAAATACAGGATACTGCATAAGGTCATTAAAAGAACGTCCAGACAGTTTATTTAATTGGGTGAGGTATTCAAAATTGGTGAGAGCCCTCTCTCTCCATAACTGAGTCAGAATGGATACGTCAACATTAGATTTACAAGGCAGGTCATGACTTTCCAATTGTTTCCAAATGTGATGATATTCCTGAAACACAACAATTATAAATCAGAAAAAAATCTTAATTTCTAATACTTAATAGTCATTTTTTATAGAAATTAAATAAAGAGATGAGAATTAATAAAACTTAAAAGCACTCGGAAAAGTTTATAGCATTAACTCTAGATTTCATACTACAGGGTGCATAGCAAAATCTTTCAACAAAAAATAAGCACCTTTTAAGTACTTTTTAAGAACTCAAAGAGTTTTTTTAAGTACTATATACATTAACAAAATTGGGTCGGCTGTTCAATAACAAATATAAGAGCCGTGCGTGGAGAGTTAAAAAAAATTATATCATTTATGGACAGCTACTAACCCAGTATAGACCATAGATAATCTCAGGGGTGATTGTGACACAAAGTGAAAAACCCTGAAAATTTTATGTGCAAAAACTCGATAGCAAGATATAAATTTATATACTATTCATATTAAATTCTTTTGAACAAAGATTTACATTCTTTGATCCAGATTTAGTTCTTACAAGAATTGCGACATTTGGATTTAAACTCGTGTAAACATTAATCATGATATTGGATTGAGGAACGTGAAATTACAAATCGCAATATTGGATTTCTGAATCACATAAATACAAATTGCGATGTATGATTTTTAGATCCTTTGAATACAAATTGCGACATTGGGTTTTAAAATTGCATGAAAGCGAACCGTGATATTGATTTCAAAAACATGCAAATTGCGATGTTGGATTTTTAAATCACGTGAATACGAATCGAGATGCACAATTTTTAAATCGAGTGAACATGGAGGGTGATATTAGCGGATTCCAGCGTAGTTTTAAATATAAAAAACGACCAAGAAACAATAAATAAAATAAATCACAACAACGTAAGAGCCTCATGTACGAAAACGTCTAAACACGATTTAGTGAAGGTTTAAAAATTTAAATTGTAAAACTAATTCTTATTTCGAGTTTTAGATTGCGCCAAAAATATCGGAGGATTATAAATTTTGATTTGAGGAATTCTGTGAAAAAATCACATGCTGTGCTCCTAGAACTAAAGGAATGTTACAAACAACCCAGAATTCCAGGGTACACTAGGAATACAATCAGCACTGTAATCTGTAAAGCACAGCAGCTAGGACCAAAAAAACATATGAACATACATGAATTGAAATGAACATGTGCTTAATAACATACCTTTTCTGATTCAAAAGCTATTAGATAAGTTAGCCCATTAGTCAAAAATATTTCAAATGCATTATTTTGAAGTTCATATCGTCGTGGAACTATTTCTTTGATAGTCTCAAAGGGCCAACTTTCAGATATTTGGCTTATTTTACCCTACAAAGAAGCAAACTTTTGTTACCATATAAAAACAAAAACAGCATTTAAAAATACTATTTTTAATCAAAAAGTGAATTTCACATAAAATAAAGAAAATGGACAAGCAAATGTAATAACAAAATATATAAATGGACTTACATAAGAAGATGTTTCCTCCCCAATAAGATGAATATGATAAGCACCTACATAAGGAAAAAATTGTCAATTAGCTCTTAATAATTCTCAAAATATTCCTTTCATTAAATAATTGACTTTAAATGAAGATTTAGACAGTTAAAAACACTAAAATTCAATAGTTTTTCAATAACAGACAAATCACATGAGTTTTCAAATCCAAAACATGGGTGGTTTCTTTTTGGGTGGAACTTACCTAAGCGAACATACAATATTTAACTTGGTTGGACCTACTTAGGAGATAAATAATTTTTCAACAAAAAATAAGCACCTTTCAAGCATTTTTCAAGCACTCAAAGAATATTTTCAAGCACTCAAAGAATATTTTAAAGCACTTATTCAAGCAAAATATTATAATAAAACAGGGATGGTAAAATTTTTGAAAATTGATGGTTTTAACAATCATGTAAAAAAAAAGCCTCTTGACATACATAGTTTTCGGCAATTGTCAAAAACCCAAAATTTCGGCATAAGGATAATTATTAGCTATTATAAATGTGATGTATTTTTAAATTAACATACACGCAAAATTATAAGTGTTCCATGAATTATGTTCTTGAATTATTTTAACATTAAACTCTTTGTTTCGAAAATAACAGACAAAAACCCAAATTTTGGTGTATAAAATATTAGATAATTATAAATAAAAATCATCGATTGATGCTCAGATGTATAGACTAGAATGTTAACCTACTAAACTATTATAACAAATAAAGTAACACGTAATTAGGAAATTTATTCTAATAACTGTACTAAATATTGATAGCAACTTAATTAAATCCTTGAATTGATTAAGTTACTAACTCACTCAAACAAACATTTATATTTTTTTGTAAATTATAAATACTTGCACATAAGTAATATAATAACAAACATTAAGAATTAAAAAAAAAATATTTTTCTGATAAGTTGAGATCAGACAATTATTGGCAACCACTTTAGTTTTACTTAATGTAAAAAAATCTGTCTAAATTGCAGCATAAAATATTTAAAATCAACATTAAGATTGATAATAATTAAAAACTCATAGTTATTACTTGTAATATATTAAGAGTACCATGTTTTTAGAAAAATCAATTGACAATTGAATTATTTTAGCTATATTTTTTATAATGATACATAATAATAAATTTTAATTATAGTATATAATGCAAGCATTGTGCATGATTTAATGTCTAATAAATTTTCCCCAACTTTAGTAAAGAAACTTCACCAAGGTTTTTGACAGTTTTTGTCTGATTTTTACACTTTTCAACAGGCTTTTGATGTGTCAAGTCAAAAACCAGTTTTGACATCCAAATCACAACCCTGTAATTAGGATATGCGCCAGAAATAAAATTTTTCCAGACTTAACATGATCATGATAAAATAACTAGCTTTTGACAAAGAACTCTTTCTTGATTAGATTAGCCATTATAAAAATAATTAATACATAATTTCAAAGATATTCAATATTGAGTGGCTCATTCCATCTTTCAATTAATAATTACTTTATTTAATTATGCAAAAAAAATTAATTCAAAATTTTAATAAATTTAGCTATTATTTAAAAAGTTTACTGAGTGCATCTTTTAGATTTAAATAAAAGTTATTGATAAAAGTATATTCAATAAAACATTAACAAGATTACTATTATTGATCATGCCGAATTTATAAAGATGTGTTGAGAATTAAACAAACTAAGAAAACTCTAATAAAAATACATATTACAAATGTAAATTAGTGAATGGCCCCTAAAAAGTTAATTATTATTGTTACTTTGGTTTAGACTTTTTTCAATGAAATGATTAAAAAAACAATTAAAATGATTTTGAAATTTAAATACAATGAGTATTGAAGCTAAATATTTTGCCAGAAGTAAATTATTACATCGTCCCTAAATTCATAATCTATATATATATTTCTCTTACACGGCGATAAAAAAAAGCCTCATTACAACTCCCCGAATGGCAACGCTAGAAAATCAACCAATGATTGCAGCTAAAAATGTCACATGCCAAAGTTAGTTTAGGTGGCTCAACTAATAGCGCTTCTAAAAACGGAAACTGAAATAACCAGAGTGTAAAATAGTATGTGCTTATGCGCGTCGTATTTTTTGTTAAATAATTTATTTATTATATATCAGTTTATAGATGGTAGCGAGAAGAGTTTCTAGGTTGCTATGGTGACTAATTAGAATGTAAATTTTTTTTTGAGTGAGTGTGAGATTTGTTTTTTGGAACTGCGATGCTGTAATTTTATTGTTTAGTTAATAAATCTTCCCTTAAACATTTGAAGAAAAAT